ACCCCCCACCAACCCACTCAACCACCCAACCCAACCACAGAGACAAGAGACTGACCTCCAAACAACCCCCAACAACCCAACCCCCCCCCCAACCCCCCCCACCACACCCACCACCCCAACACACACCACCCACCCCACAACCCCCCACCACCCCCCCCACACCCACCCCCAACACACAAAACACCCCCACCCCCCCACCCCACCCAACCCACCCCCACCACCCCCCCCCCCCCCACCCCCACCCCCCCCACCACCAAACCCCACCCAACAAACCACCAACCCCCCACCCACCAAACCCCACCACCAAACCCACCACCAAACCACACCAAACACCACCCACAAACCCCACCACCAACCCCACCCACAACAAACCCCCACCCCCCAACAAACCAACACCAAACCCCCACAAACCACACCAAGCAGAGACTGAGGCAGAGACTGAAGACTGAGGCAGAGACTGAAGCAGAGACTGAAGAGACTGAAGCAGCAGAGACTGAGGCAGAGACTGAGGCAGAGACTGCAGAGCAGCAGAGACTGAAGCTGAGGCAGAGACTGCAGAGAGGCAGAGAGACAGAGACTGAAGCAGAGACTGAAGCAGAGACTGCAGAGAAGCAGAGACTGAAGCAGAGACTGAGCAGAGAGAGACTGAAGCAGAGACTGAGACTGAAGCAGAGACTGAGGCAGAGACTGAAGCAGAGACTGAAGCAGAGACTGAAGCAGAGACTGAGAGGCAGAGACTGACTGAGGCAAGAGACTGAAGCAGAGACTGAGGCAGAGACTGAGGCAGAGACTGAAGCAGAGACTGAGGCAGAGACTGAAGCAGAGACTGAAGCAGAGACTGAAGCAGAGACTGAAGCAGAGACTGAGCAGAGACTGAGCAGAGACAAGCAGAGACTGAAGCAGAGACTGAAGCAGAGACTGAAGCAGAGACTGAGGCAGAGACTGAGGCAGAGACTGAGCAGAGACTGAAGCAGAGACTGAAGCAGAGACTGAGGCAGAGACTGAAGCAGAGACTGAAGCAGAGACTGAAGCAGAGACTGAAGCAGAGACTGAGGCAGAGACTGAAGCAGAGACTGAAGCAGAGACTGAAGCAGAGACTGAAGGCAGAGACTGAGGCAGAGACTGAGGCAGAGACTGAAGCAGAGACTGAGGCAGAGACTGAGGCAGAGACTGAAGCAGAGACTGAAGCAGAGACTGAAGCAGAGACTGAGGCAGAGACTGAGGCAGAGACTGAAGCAGAGACTGAAGCAGAGACTGAAGCAGAGACTGAGGCAGAGACTGAGGCAGAGACTGAGGCAGAGACTGAGGCAGAGACTGAAGCAGAGACTGAAGCAGAGACTGAGGCAGAGACTGAGGCAGAGACTGAGGCAGAGACTGAGGCAGAGACTGAGGCAGAGACTGAAGCAGCAGAGACTGAAGCAGAGACTGAGGCAGAGACTGAGGCAGAGACTGAGGCAGAGACTGAGCAGAGACTGAGGCAGAGACTGAAGCAGAGACTGAGGCAGAGACTGAGGCAGAGACTGAAGCAGAGACTGAGGCAGAGACTGAAGCAGAGACTGAAGCAGAGACTGAGGCAGAGACTGAGGCAGAGACTGAGGCAGAGACTGAAGCAGAGACAGAGGCAGAGACTGAGGCAGAGACTGAGGCAGAGACTGAGGCAGAGACTGAGGCAGAGACTGAGGCAGAGACTGAGCAGAGACTGAGGCAGAGACTGAGGCAGAGACTGAGCAGAGACTGAGGCAGAGACTGAAGCCAGAGACTGAGAGCAGAGACTGAGCAGAGACTGAGCAGAGACTGAGCAGAGACTGAAGCAGAGACTGAGGCAGAGACTGAGCAGAGACTGAGCAGAGACTGAAGCAGAGACTGAGCGAACGAGCAGAGAGCAGAGACTGAGGCAGAGACTGAGGCAGAGACTGAGGCAGAGACGAGGCAGAGACTGAGCAGAGACTGAGCAGAGACTGAGCAGAGACTGGAGGCAGAGACTGAAGCAGAGACTGAAGCAGAGACTGAGCAGAGACTGAGCAGAGACTGAGCAGAGACTGAAGCAGAGACTGAAGCAGAGACTGAAGGCAGAGACTGAGCAGAGACTGAAGCAGAGACTGAAGCAGAGACTGAGGCAGAGACTGAGGCAGAGACTGAGCAGAGACTGAAGGCAGAGACTGAGCAGAGCAGAGACTGAAGCAGAGACTGAGGCAGAGACTGAGCAGAGACTGAAGCAGAGACTGAAGCAGAGACTGAGGCAGAGACTGAGCAGAGACTGAAGCAGAGACTGAAGCAGAGACTGAGCAGAGACTGAGCAGAGACTGAAGCAGAGACTGAGGCAGAGACTGAGGCAGAGACTGAAGCAGAGACTGAAGCAGAGACTGAGCAGAGACTGAAGCAGAGACTGAGCAGAGACTGAGCAGAGACTGAGCAGAGACTGAAGCAGAGACTGAGCAGAGACTGAAGCAGAGACTGAAGCAGAGACTGAGCAGAGACTGAGGCAGAGACTGAAGCAGAGACTGAAGCAGAGACTGAAGCAGAGACTGAAGCAGAGACTGAAGCAGAGACTGAAGCAGAGACGAGCAGAGACGAGCAGAGACTGAGGCAGAGACTGAGCAGAGACTGAGGCAGAGACTGAGCAGAGACTGAAGCAGAGACTGAGCAGAGACTGAAGCAGAGACTGAGCAGAGACTGAAGCAGAGACTGAAGCAGAGACTGAAGCAGAGACTGAGGCAGAGACTGAAGCAGAGACTGAGGCAGAGACTGAGGCAGAGACTGAAGCAGAGACTGAGGCAGAGACCGAAGCAGAGACTGAAGCAGAGACTGAGGCAGAGACTGAGGCAGAGACTGAAGCAGAGACTGAAGCAGAGACTGAGGCAGAGACTGAGGCAGAGACTGAAGCAGAGACTGAAGCAGAGACTGAGGCAGAGACCGAGGCAGAGACCGAGGCAGAGACTGAGGCAGAGACTGAAGCAGAGACTGAAGCAGAGACTGAAGCAGAGACTGAGGCAGAGACTGAGGCAGAGACTGAGGCAGAGACTGAAGCAGAGACTGAAGCAGAGACTGAGGCAGAGACCGAAGCAGAGACCGAAGCAGAGACTGAGGCAGAGACTGAGGCAGAGACTGAAGCAGAGACTGAAGCAGAGACTGAAGCAGAGACTGAGGCAGAGACTGAGGCAGAGACTGAAGCAGAGACCGAGGCAGAGACCGAGGCAGAGACCGAGGCAGAGACCGAAGCAGAGACCGAGGCAGAGACTGAAGCAGAGACCGAGGCAGAGACCGAGGCAGAGACCGAGGCAGAGACCGAGGCAGAGACCGAAGCAGAGACCGAGGCAGAGACCGAGGCAGAGACCGAGGCAGAGACCGAGGCAGAGACGAGGCAGAGACTGAAGCAGAGACCGAGGCAGAGACCGAGGCAGAGACCGAGGCAGAGACCGAGGCAGAGACCGAAGCAGAGACCGAGGCAGAGACCGAGGCAGAGACCGAGGCAGAGACCGAGGCAGAGACTGAAGCAGAGACCGAGGCAGAGACTGAGGCAGAGACTGAGGCAGAGACTGAAGCAGAGACTGAAGCAGAGACTGAAGCAGAGACTGAAGCAGAGAGAGACTGAGGCAGAGACTGAAGCAGAGACCGAAGCAGAGACCGAGGCAGAGACTGAAGCAGAGACTGAAGCAGAGACTGAGGCAGAGACTGAGGCAGAGACTGAGGCAGAGACCGAAGCAGAGACTGAAGCAGAGACTGAGGCAGAGACTGAGGCAGAGACTGAGGCAGAGACCGAGGCAGAGACCGAGGCAGAGACCGAGGCAGAGACTGAAGCAGAGACCGAGGCAGAGACTGAGGCAGAGACTGAGGCAGAGACTGAAGCAGAGACTGAAGCAGAGACTGAAGCAGAGACTGAAGCAGAGACTGAAGCAGAGAGAGACTGAGGCAGAGACTGAAGCAGAGACCGAAGCAGAGACCGAGGCAGAGACTGAAGCAGAGACTGAAGCAGAGACTGAGGCAGAGACTGAGGCAGAGACTGAGGCAGAGACCGAAGCAGAGACTGAAGCAGAGACTGAGGCAGAGACTGAAGCAGAGACTGAGGCAGAGACTGAGGCAGAGACCGAAGCAGAGACTGAAGCAGAGACTGAGGCAGAGACTGAGGCAGAGACTGAGGCAGAGACTGAAGCAGAGACTGAAGCAGAGACTGAAGCAGAGACTGAAGCAGAGAGAGACTGAGGCAGAGACTGAAGCAGAGACCGAGGCAGAGACTGAGGCAGAGACTGAAGCAGAGACTGAAGCAGAGACTGAAGCAGAGAGAGACTGAGGCAGAGACTGAAGCAGAGACCGAGGCAGAGACTGAGGCAGAGACTGAAGCAGAGACTGAAGCAGAGACTGAAGCAGAGAGAGACTGAGGCAGAGACTGAAGCAGAGACCGAGGCAGAGACTGAAGCAGAGACTGAAGCAGAGAGAGACTGAGGCAGAGACTGAAGCAGAGACCGAAGCAGAGACTGAAGCAGAGACTGAAGCAGAGACTGAAGCAGAGACTGAGGCAGAGACTGAAGCAGAGACCGAAGCAGAGACTGAAGCAGAGACTGAAGCAGAGACTGAAGCAGAGACTGAGGCAGAGACTGAAGCAGAGACTGAAGCAGAGACTGAAGCAGATGTGTGGCAGGGGTTACACATACATTCATGACTTAGAGATAGAATTGAGAGCGGGGGACTAGTGTCATGGATTTTATTACAGCCCAGTAGTGTGTGGTGTGAGAGTTACGTCCCCCAGCTTTAACCCGTGACGTCAGCAGAATGGTTTTATTGTGGTGGACCCCGTCTCTATGCGGAAGTGTCAGTCCCCGTCAGCTGATTCTGCGTTAGCTCCTCTTGTTAGCCTCTGTTTGTGTTTTTGTCTATTTTCTCCCGTCAAACCTCTCCCCTGCAGCCCGGGGGCACACGCACGGCCTCTCCCCGCCTCTCGCTGCTCGCTCTGAACAGGCTTCTCCCCCGCGGGACGTGCTCCTCTCTCCGGGGGAAGTGAGACAATGGCGACTCCCAGCGCTAACAGCCCAGCTCCGGGCAACAGCAGCAGTGCAAGCCCCGGTCCGGCTCTCCCACCGAGGGTCACGACTGTCAGCAGCCTGCAGGGTAAGAGCCAGGCCCGGGGGACAGCTGGGAGGGCCGGGGGACTGGGGCTGGGGTGGTGGTTAGCTTGGAGGTAGCCTGGAGTTAGCCGCTAGCTGTTAGCTGTTAGCTGTTAGCTGTTAGCTGTTAGCATCAGGAGGCTCTAAGCAAAACATCAGTATCAGTGTTATTTTATACCCTTTGTAAGTGATGTATACTACAACAGGCGTCACAAATTAGGTTTTTGTATTATTATTAAATATTGTTGAATTATTATTGTATATTGTTGAATTATTATTGTATATTGTTGAATTATTATTGTATATTGTGGCATTATTATTGTATATCTGGGCATTGCTGAGGTTCTTATATTTATACATGTCACCAACAGAATGGGTGTGGAAGCAAAATGATGTGAACAAATAAAAATAAAAGTAAAAATATCTTTGTTAGTCAGTAATTGACTTTTTGAGCTGATTGGCTGAGTGAGGCTGGGGTTCACTTTTGTGTCTCAAAAAAGTGATCTAAAGATGTGACAGAGAAAATAAACACAGGTAGAATCGAGACGTAGAACCCGAATCTCCCTCTGGTCTCTCTCCTTAGACTCTCTCCCATCCAACTATGTACCGCTCCCTGACCATAAACCTGCTTCTGGTTTTTTGCTGCTTCCTCAAACTCACTTCAGTGTTCAGTGTTATCTCTGGGTCACGTTTCTGTTGTGCTTAATATCACATTGTTTCAAGAGAAAATACAAGGAACTGAATCAATGCACTCTCAAAAAGCTCTAATGTTAAACCTGGGGTCCCTCACATTCAACCCGTATTCTCTGGGACTATGTTATACAATCCATGTATCAAGTTCCTGGGGTTAAAACAGTTTAGTGAAGAGACCAGTGAGGGAGAGAGAGTGAAGAGACCAGAGAGGGAGAGAGACCAGAGAGAGAGTGAAGAGACCAGAGAGGGAGAGAGAGTGAAGAGACCAGAGAGGGAGAGAGAGTGAAGAGACCAGAGATAGTGACGAGACCAGAGAGAGAGTGAAGAGACCAGAGAGGGAGAGGGGGAGAGAGAGAGAGAGAGAATGAAGAGACCAGAGAGGGAGAGACCAGAGAGGAGAGAGAGAGAGAGAGGGAGAGACCAGAGAGAGGGAGAGGGAGAGAGAGAGAGAGAGAGAATGAAGAGACCAGAGAGAGAGAGACCAGAGAGGAGGAGAGACCAGAGAGAGTGAGAGACCAGAGAGAGAGAGAGAGAGTGAAGAGACCAGAGGGAGAGGGAGAGAGAGAGACCAGAGATAGTGACGAGACCAGAGAGGAGAGAGAGCGTGAAGAGACCAGAGAGGGAGAGGGAGAGAGACCAGAGAGGGAGAGGGAGGGAGAGAGAGAGAGACCAGAGATAGTGACGAGACCAGAGAGAGAGAGAGAGAGGGAGAGAGACCAGAGAGGGAGAGGGAGAGAGAGAGAGACCAGAGATAGTGACGAGACCAGAGAGGGAGAGGTAGAGAGACCTCTCCTAGTAGAGAGAGTAAATAAAGCTTACTCACTTACTTACCAGAGAGGGAGAGGGAGAGGGAGAGAGACCAGAGATAGTGACGAGACCAGAGAGAGAGAGACCAGAGAGAGTGAAGAGACCAGAGAGGGAGAGACCAGAGAGAGAGTAAGAAAGAGAGAGTGAAGAGACCAGAGAGGGAGAGACCAGAGAGAGAGTAAGAAAGAGAGAGTGAAGAGACCAGAGAGGGAGAGACCAGAGAGAGAGTAAGAAAGAGAGAGTGAAGAGACCAGAGAGGGAGAGACCAGAGAGAGAGTAAGAAAGAGAGAGTGAAGAGGGGGAGCTGTGATCCAGGATGACAGACTGTATTTTCTAATTATGTTTTTTCTTTCAGAATCCAACACCTGCTGGAGGTGTCAGAGCGAGACGGGTAACTGCCATTTATTTCACTATTACCTTTCTCCTCTTCCTGCTCTCTCCCCCCTCTCCTCTCTCCTATCTGCACTCTCTCCTCTCCCCTCACCTCTTCTCTCTCCCCTCTCTCCTTCCTGTCACCTGTTGTCGTTATACTGTATTAATAACCATGCCCTGTGTAGCCGTGACAATAACCTGACATTGTGTTTGTGGCTGAAGTCGACAAAATAAACAATATTAAAAGTACATAGGAGGATTTTCTACTTCTGGGTGGATCATCAAGACTATTGTCAATCATTCTGGTGATACGTGCTCGAAAAATAAGACCAGAGAGTTTTGTTCTCCCATATACCTTTTGGTAAATATAAATATTAGTTGAACATCAGGGGTGTCCATTGATTTGTATCTGGCACTGTGTCCCAGCTGGAAGCCAGTCCCTGTGCTCATATGGCACTAAAATGTCACATGTGTTTTAGATGGATTTCCCCACACATCCATCTTAAGTACCCCAGCTTTAATATCTGAGTAGATATCTGATGACTATTTTTATCTGCAAAGACTAAACTATAGGTAATCAGTGCCTTGCATTAAGGTGTATTCAAAGGGCTTTTGTATGGCCCTGTCTTGATAGAAAATCTTTGTGTAAAAGTGTTTTTGTGTTTCTCTCTGACTCCCACGTGACGCCGAACGGTGAGAAACCCCCCTTTTAGAGCTGTGGTCGTATTTCATTTCAATCTGTTGTTTTTGCAGGTTACACCCTCACATCATTGCTGTTATTTTTGCATGTTTCCATCTGCAGAGAGAGACCAGAGAGAGAGACCAGAGAGAGAGACCAGAGAGAGAGACCAGAGAGAGAGACCAGAGAGAGAGACCAGAGAGAGAGACCAGAGAGAGAGACCAGAGAGAGAGACCAGAGAGAGAGAGAGAGACCAGAGAGAGAGAGAGACCAGAGAGAGACCAGAGAGAGAGAGAGACCAGAGAGAGAGAGAGTCCAGAGAGAGAGACCAGAGAGAGAGAGAGTCCAGAGAGAGAGAGAGAGTCCAGAAAGAGAGAGTCCAGAGAGAGAGAGAGAGAGAGAGAGAGTCCAGAAAGAGAGAGTCCAGAGAGAGAGAGAGAGAGAGTCAGGGTCCGACCAGAGAGAGGGAGATAGAGAGAGACCAGAGAGAAGTGAATCTTTCAGTTTTACCATATCCATTCTGTTTCGTCTGCATGTTTCCATCTGCAGCGTGAGGCCAGAGTATCCAGGAGAGAAACCTTTGGGAACAAGGGAGAACTTACCATAAGGATATTTTTTAAAACACCAATGCTCCTTTTTACGTTCATTGCATCATTTAAATATGAAACATTATCTCCGTGTGTATAATATCCACTTTTCCCAAACGGTGGGCTCTCCCTGTGGTTCCTGGTCCTCCTGGAAAGGCCAGGTCGTCTGATCCTCTTGGTTTGAGTAAAGCTGTGTTTCGTCTCTGTAGGCTTCCAGATAAACCTGTCTGGAGCCCCCCCAAGTAAGAGCACATCTGCTGCCCGCGTTTGAGCTCCAAGTCTGGGGTGGAGGGTCCGGGGTCGGCCCCTGATCCACCTCCACTGAGCCGAGACCAGGAGCCAGAGGCCAATGCACTGTACAGGGTTAAGCTAGAAAGGCCAGAGGGGGAGCACGAGAGAGAGAAAGAGGCCAGAGAGAGTGAGCGAGGCCAGAGAGAGAGAGAGGGAGGCCAGAGAGAGAGAGAGAAAGCGAGAGGCCAGGGAGAGAGAGGCCAGAGAGAGAGAGAGGGAGACCAGAGAGAGAGAGAGGCCAGGGAGAGAGAGGCCAGAGAGAGAGAAAGCGAGAGGCCAGAGAGAGAGAGAGAAGGCGAGAGGCCAGAGAGAGAGAGAGGCCAGAGAGAGAGAGAAAGCGAGAGGCCAGAGAGAGAGGCCAGAGAGAGAGAGAAAGCGAGAGGCCAGAGAGAGAAAGCGAGAGGCCAGAGAGAGAGAGAGAGAAAGCGAGAGGCCAGAGAGAGAGAGAGAGAGAGAGAGAGAGAGAGAGCAGAGAGAAGAGCGAGAGAAGCGAGAGGCCAGAGAGAGAGAGAGAAAGCGAGAGGCCAGAGAGAGAGAGAGAGAAAGCGAGAGGCCAGAGAGAGAGAGAGAGAAAGAGAAAGCGAGAGGCCAGAGAGAGAGAGAAAGCGAGAGGCCAGAGAGAGAGAGAGAGAGAGAAAGCGAGAGGCCAGAGAGAGAGAGCGAGCGAGAGGCCAGAGATAGAGAAAGCGAGAGGCCAAGCGAGAATCCCCACCTGGTACCTGTGAGTGCAGTGGCCCCTGCGTCTCCTGCGGCTTCACTGTTTGGTTCTAACAGAGTTCAGTTTGTTTGGGTTCACTAACTTTGGGTGAGGACCATCACGGCAGGTGGCCTTACACGCATGTCTCCTGGAGCCTCGGACCATCTGTGTCGTGTTGTTGATGGTTTTGGTGTGTATTTTGTTTGTGGGTGTGTGAATGCTGGGCTTGAGCTGCATGTTCTGGGGTCCCTCAGGGTTCACACCAGGCAGAAGATGGTGAATGACATGTTGTCTATGTTTAAACATTAACGAGGTCTAAATCACCTCTTCTGAGCCTGGTCTCTCTCACTCTCTCGTCTCTCTTTCTAGTCTCTCTGGTCTCTCTCTGGTCTCTCTCTGGACTCTCTCTCTTTTGTCTCTCTTTCTAGTCTCTTTGGTCTCTCTTTCTAGTCTCTCTTGTCTCTCTCACTCACTATTGTCTCTCTCACTCTCTTGTCTCTCTTTCTAGTCCCTCTGGTCTCTCTCTGGTCTCTCTCTGGACTCTCTCTCTTTTGTCTCTCTTTCTAGTCTCTCTGGTCTCTCTCACTCTCTTGTCTCTCTTTCTAGTCTCTCTGGTCTCGTGTCTTTCTAGTCTCTCTGGTCTCGTGTCTTTCTGGTCTGGGTGGCTGTGAGTGACTGAGATGGGTCCCTTTTGGAGGAGTCTACTTGTCTTCTTGTTGTATATATTTATATTAATTGTTCTGTTTGTTTCTTCAAAAGGTAAACGAAAAGCATTGAAGCTGAACTTTGCCAACCCCTCCATCAAACCCACAACCCGCTTCACACTTAACACCGCGGGACCACCGTTCCAGAACCCACACATGTGAGACCTGCTTTAGTCCTGCTTTAGTCCTGCTTTAGTCCTGCTTTAGTCCTGCTTTAGTCCTGCTTTAGTCCTGCTTTAGTCCTGCTTTAGTCCTGCTTTAGTCCTGCTTTAGTCCTGCTTTAGTCCTGCTTTAGTCCTGCTTTAGACCTGCTTTAGTCCTGCTTTAGTCCTGCTTTAGTCCTGCTTTAGTCCTGCTTTAGACCTACTTTAGTCCAGTTTGTTTGGACTTGTTTTGAGTCTTCTGATTGTTTCTTCCACAGTGAGCGTCTGCGCAGTCACAGTATGGAGTCGTGGGGGAAGCTGAAGCTGTCCCCAGATCAACACTGGGATTTCACCGCAGACGACCTCAAAGATCTGGGAGAGATCGGCCGCGGGGCCTACGGCTCCGTCAACAAGATGGTGCACAAGCACAGCAGCCACATCATGGCTGTCAAGGTGAGACTGAGGCTGTAGACCCAGGACTGAGGCTGTAGACCCAGGACTGAGGGGCTGTAGACCCAGGACTGAGGCTGTAGACCCAGGACTGAGGGGCTGTAGACCCAGGACTGAGGCTGTAGACCCAGGACTGAGGGGCTGTAGATCCAGACTCCCACCTGGTTCCTTGGAACTAGTCTGGAAATGGACCTGTACCATGTGTTGCAGAGGATCCGGTCCACGGTGGACGAGCGTGAACAGAAGCAGCTGCTCATGGACCTGGACGTGGTCATGAGGAGCAGCGACTGCCCCTACATCGTGCAGTTCTACGGCGCCCTCTTCAGGGAGGTACGTGTACAGCAGGGACCATGAGCGTACGGCAGGGGCCGTGAGCGTACGGCAGGGGCCGTGAGCGTACGGCAGGGACCGTGAGCGTACGGCAGGGACCGTGAGCGTACGGCAGGGGCCGTGAGCGTACGGCAGGGGCCGTGAGCGTACGGCAGGGGCCGTGAGCGTACGGCAGGGGCCATCAGGATGCAACAGGGACCATGAGGATAAAACCCTCCTTGTTGAATTCCATCAGTTGATAGTAACATTTCCAAATTTAACCTGGTCCCTTCTTCCTTCCTGGCCCACCTCCCTCTCTTCTCCTCCTCCCCACCTCCCTCTCTTCTCCTCCTCCCCACCTCCCTCTCTTCTCCTCCTCTTGTTCCTCCTCAGGGCGACTGCTGGATCTGCATGGAGCTCATGGCGATCTCTTTAGACAAATTCTACAAGTTTGTGTACTGTTCTTTAGACAACGTGATCCCAGAGGAGATCCTGGGGAAGATCACGTTAGCGGTGGGTCCTTCACACGTTTCTCTTCTTCTTCTTCTTCTGTTGTTTTTAACCTGTGTTTGGTCTATGCCACAGACTGTGAAAGCACTGAACCACTTAAAAGAAAGTCTGAAGATCATCCACAGGGGTAAGATGGAGTTTTTAGCCTTTAACCCGCCTTTCGACCTGTTTTTTGTGAATGCTCCGACCAAATAAAGCGTTATTATGACAGCAATGAAAGCAAACTCTCTGGTCTCTCTCTCTGGTCTCTCTCTCTCTCTGACCTCTCTCTCTCTGACCTCTCTCTGGTCTCTTTCTCTCTCTCTCTGACCTCTCTCTGGTCTCTCTCTCGCTCTTGCTCCCTTCTTTTTGTCTTAAAGATCTCTTGTACTGGGTCTCTCCCTCAGCAGTAACGGGGTTTCTCTCCTCAGACATTAAACCTTCCAACATCCTACTGGATCGTAAAGGGAACATAAAGCTGTGTGACTTTGGCATCAGTGGTCAACTGGTCGACTCCATCGCCAAGACCAGGGACGCCGGCTGCAGGCCATACATGGCAGTAAGTACTGACATGGTCCCACATGGTCCTGACCAGAGGCTACATGGCTGTGTACACACCAGCAGAGCGTGCAGAGACGCTGCTGTCCCTCTGAGGTCTATGGTCTGTTCTGTCCTCTACACTGCTCCAAAGGACTGTAGAGCAGTCCACATGTATGTGTTTGTCCTCATGGTCTCTGTGGCTGAGGTCAGACTACAGACTATATGTATGAAACAAAACAATATCCAGATTCTCTGTCCAACCTGCACCTCCTGCTAATGTTTAATACAGTGGTGTGTGTGGAACTGATCTTTAAATGACTGACTGTATTTCAGCCGGAGCGGATAGACCCCAGTGCTTCTCGACACGGATACGACGTCCGCTCTGACGTGTGGAGCCTCGGCATCACTCTGGTCAGAAATCACATGGTTCTTTCTATCTCTCTCCCTCCGGCCTCTCTGGTCTCTCCCTGGTCTCTGGTACTAACCCCCCTCTCCTGCAGTATGAGCTGGCATCTCTGGTCTCTCTCTGGTCTCTCTCTGGTACTAACCCCCCTCTCCTGCAGTACGAGCTGGCCACTGGCAGGTTCCCGTACCCGAAATGGAACAGCGTGTTTGACCAGCTGACGCAGGTGGTGCGTGGGGACCCCCCGCAGCTCAGCAACTCGGACGAGAGACGCTTCTCCCCAATGTTCATTTCCTTCGTCAACGTGTGGTGAGAAAACTGTACTGTCTCCCTCTGGTGGCCGTGCCCCGTACTGCATCACTCTGACCTGTGTCTGTGTTTCCCGAAGCCTTACGAAGGACGAGTCCAAAAGGCCAAAGTACAAGGAGCTCCTGGTAAGTGTCACAACTGCTCAAAAAGGCTGAGGCTTTCGACCCAGGCCTGAGGCTGTAGATGTGTGCAAGTTCACAGGTCCCATTGTCACGCCATGAAACAGACAATGGGACAGCGGGTGAATAGCAATGAACAGACTACAGCTAAAGTCGTACCGATGATTGATACCAGGCTTCTGCAGCAGGGGCTCCACATGCAGCGTCACTGACAATCTCAGTGTGTGCTTCCACATTATAGGAGCTTGGTAGCGCTAACAGCTCTCTGCAGTAAGCTAACGGCTAAGTGCTACTGTTGTGTGTTGAGCAGAGGGACCCGTTCATCCAGATGTACGAGGAACGGAGTGTGGACGTGGCCGGATACATCTGCAACATTCTGGACCAGATGCCCTCCTCCCCCAGCTCCCCCGTGTACATGGACTGAGTCACCATCAGCCCCTCCCCTCTGTAACATAGACCACCCCCAATGCAAGGACTCAGGAGCACCAGGAGGCAGCGGCGGAGGCTGGAGGATCTGCTTTAAAGCTGCACTCTGTAACTTCCCCTCTGCCGTCTGCTGTCCACGTGTGGACTGAGGCAGAGACTGAGGCAGAGACTGAGGCAGAGACTGAGGCAGAGACTGAGGCAGAGACTGAGGCAGAGACTGAGGCAGAGACTGAGGCAGAGACTGAGGCAGAGACTGAGGCAGAGACTGAGGCAGAGACTGAGGCAGAGACTGAGGCAGAGACTGGACCGTAAAGAATATGGATATTTTAAATGTTTTTGTCTATCGCTCTCTCTGCTCTCTCTCTCTGGTTACTCTCACTCTGGTCTCTCTCTCTCTTCTCTGTCTGGGCTCTCTCTCTCCTCTCTCTGGCTTCTCTCTGGTCTCTCTGGTCTCTCTGGCCTCTCTGGCCTCTCTGGCCTCTCTGTCTCCTCTCTGGTCTCTCTGGCCTCTCTCTCTTCTCTCTTTCTCTCTGGCTTCTCTCTTCTCTATCTGGCCTCTCTGGTCTCTCTCTCTTGTCTCTCTGGCCTCTCTCTCTTCTCTCTCTCTCTCTGGCTTCTCTCTTCTCTATCTGGCCTCTCTGGTCTCTCTCTCGTCTCTCTGGCCTCTCTCTCTGGTCTCACAGCAGGCGGCAGACCTCGGTGCACATTGTCTCTCTTCTTCTCGTAGTGAGAATCAGACGAGCCTCTTCAGTCAATGTAATCCACAAACGTCTCCAAGAACTGTAGCCCTCACGACCCGCTGACGAATATATCAAAGTGTATTTATTGAACCAAACTCCTGATGAATATTTGAGGTTTTAAAAATGCCTGATGCTCGTATATGTGAATGAAATGTTACTCTCTCTGTTCCACGTGAGCTGCCTGTACCTGGGCTCAATAAACAGAGAACAAACAAGACTTTGGCTCGTCATTGGGTCACTCTCTGGGGTCTCTATCTGGGTTCTCTCTCACTCCGGTCCTCTCTGACTCTGGTCCCTCTGGTGTCTTACTCTGGTCTCTCTCCCTCTAGTCTCTCCCTCTAGTCTCTCAAGGGTCTTCCTCTCTTTAGTCACTTTCTGGTCTCTCTCTAGGGTCTCTTGGTCTTTAGTGTCAGCCTCTTATTCCAATTTTAGTTTCTCCTGAATAAATCCTGTCACACGTTTTTTACAATAATTCAGTTCAAATAAATATTTTATCTTTACCTTCATACTTTATACGTCCTTATATTCTATTGTTTGTGCTTTTAATACATTTCTTTTGAACACATTTTTCGTTTATTTATGTATCATTTTTGACAGCTTGGTTCTGTCCTTCGCTATGATTGGTCCTTCCTTCCTACGTCATCACTTAATGCCGGAAGCGCTCTCCATGTGCCAAAACAACCCCGCCGTAGTAAATACACTACTCTTAAATTCGTTTCTCGCGTCGCGGAATGACCTGAGCCGGTGTTTTAGCAGAGTTCCACAGAGTCGGTGTAGGGTATGCCCGGACTGGGACCTGCTCCTGGGCTGTTTCTCAAAGGCAGAGCTGCGTTCGCTGTGTTCGGTTCCCTGCAGACTTCCACCCGGGCCTCGCTAGTCCGCTTCACCCGCGCTATGGCCACCAGACCCGGGGCTGATGGGGTGGGGGTGGAGGGGAGACCGCCACAGAAGAGGCTGAAGCAGAAGGAGCCGCTGCGCAGAACCAAAGCCAAAGAGACGCGTCTCAAACGGGGGGACGTGCACGGACCATCCACGGTCTATGTGCAGGTCCTGGGCTCCGGGAGCAGAGACAACGCTGCGTCTCTCTACGTGTTCTCAGAGTTTAACAGGTAAATCAGCTGGTCTCCCGTTCTCTCCCTCTCAGGTCCCTGGTCCCTCTCTCTGGTCTGGTCTTTCCCTGGTCCTTGGTCCCTCTGGTCACTTTCAGGTCCTTCTCTTTGGTCTGGTCTTTCCCTGGTCCCTCTCTCTGGTGTGTGTCTCTTGTCTCTTGTCTCTCTCTCTTGTCTCTCTCTCTGGTCCCTCTCTCCAATCTCTCCCTGGTCCCTCTATGGTCTTTCTCAGGTCTCGCTCCCTGATATCTCTTTCTGGTCTCTCTCTCTCTCTGGTCTCTTTCTGGTCTCTCTCTCTCTCTCTGTGCTCTCTCTCTCTGGTCCCTCTATGGTCTTTCTCAGGTCTCTCTGGTCTCTTTCTGGTCTCTCTCTCTGGTCTCTTTCTTTCTCTGGTCTCTCTCTGAGCGTCCTATAAAACAAAACCGAACAGAAGTAAAAACTCGCTGTGTGTGTTTGCAGGTACCTGTTTAACTGCGGTGAGGGGACGCAGCGCCTGATGCAGGAGCACAAGTGAGTGATCCACATGTTCAGATGTAAACATAACTATATATATATATCTGCTCTAGAATATACAGGATTTATGCTATCTTTTTTATTATAGCTATAGTTGCTGTGTTCTCCTCATTCCTGCTCTTCTGTAACTGATGATGCAACACTGAAATTTCCCTGTGGGACGAACATCTCAGGTCTGATCCAGAGTCTGTTTCAGGTTAAAAGCCGCTCGACTCGACAACATCTTCCTCACGCGACTGAACTGGGACAATGTGGGCGGACTCTCAGGTGAGAGAGAGACCAGAGACCGGAGAGGGGAGAGACCAGAGAGGGGAGAGACCAGAGAGGGGAGAGACCAGAGAGGGGAGAGACCAGAGAGGGGAGAGACCAGAGAGGGGAGAGACCAGAGAGGGGAGAGACCAGAGAGAGACCAGAAAGACCATGTATAACGTTTGTGTTTCAGGGATGATCCTGACGCTGAAGGACACCGGAGTCCCTGAGTGCGTTCTCTCTGGACCTCCACAACTGGTCAGAAAATATAAATATCAAAAATTCACAAGATCATAGTGGCAGAGTGGTTAGCCTCTCCCTCAGCAGGTTGTCGGTTCTAAACTCAGGTCTGTTGTATCCAACAGGAAAACTTTGTGAGTGCCATCAAGTCTTTCTCTGGACCTCTGGACGAGATCCGGCTCTGTGAGTAACAGTCTCTCTCTCTCTCTCTCTCTCTCTCTCTCTCTCTCTCTCTCTCTCTGTCTCTCTGTCTCTCTGTCTCTCTGTCTCTCTGTCTCTCTGTCTCTCTCTCTCTCTCTCTCTCTCTCTCTCTCTCTCTCTCTCTCTCTCTCTCTCTCTCTCTCTGGTCTCTCTCTCTCTCTCTCTGGTCTCTCTCCCTCTAGTCTCTCATGTAAAATCAACCAATCAGAGGCCTTCATTCAGAGAACTCCAGCTTACCTTAGCAACCGTCTTAGCAACACACTGTGCTCCTGTTTCAGCATGAAGCTAACAGTCGCAACAAATGCCCATATAAGGAAATGGGGCAAAACCTCTTCATGAACACTTTCCTATTGACCTGCATTGAGCTAGCCTGTTAGCATTGAGCTAGCCTGTTAGCATTAATTGTCTGTGTGGTTCTGTGTTTGCAGCTGTGCGTCCTTACACAGAGGAGACCTACAGTGACGAGACCATGACGGTGACACAGGTGCCAATATTCGGTGAGAACGACGTGCGCTAAACTAATAAACTTGATCATGATCTTAACCATGTTGTGTTTTCAGCTCGACCGAAGACACCCACTAACACATCACAGGACTCCAGCTGTGACCCACCTGGTACAGAGCATTCCTTTTGGCCTCTGGTCTCTCTCTCTGGTCCCTCTCTCTGGTGCCTCTCTCTGGTGCCTCTCTCTGGTGCCTCTCTCTGGTGCCTCTCTCTGGTGCCTCTCTCTGGTGCCTCTCTCTGGTGCCTCTCTCTGGTGCCTCTCTCTGGTGCCTCTCTCTGGTCCCTCTCTCTGGTCCCTCTCTCTGGTGCCTCTCTCTGGTGCCTCTCTCTGGTGCCTCTCTCTGGTCCCTCTCTCTGGTCTCTCTCTCTGGTGTAGATTTTATTGTAGCCTTAAATGTTTTCTGTTTTGAAAGTTGGTTACCTCAGCTTTAAGTTTTTTAAGTATGTATAAAGAGAGAAACCCCCACGTCTGTTTGGGGTCTGGAGATGGTTCCAGTACTATAAATCTGTGTTTGTGTTTCAGGTGAGGACCAGCCCGGTCCAGACCCCTCTCTGGTCGTGGCCTTCATCTGTAAAGTGAGAATGATTTAAAAACCTTTTTCTTCTGATTATATACTGTGTGTAAGTGTGTGTGTATCATTCTTATTCTTACTCTACTGTTTCAGCTTCATCCAAAGAAGGGGAACTTCCTGGTACCAGAGGCCAAAGAGCTGGGTCTGCCTGTGTGAGTCCAGCTGATTTTTTGAAAGTTGTCCTTTTTTATAGAAAAAAAAAATCTCTGATCTCTCTCCCCTGTTTTTCTCTCTCTCTGGGCTCTCTCTCTCTGGTCTCTCTCTCATGTCTCTCTCTCTCTGGTCTCCCTCGCTGGTCTCTCTCTCTGTTCTCTCTCTGGTCTCTCTCTCTCTGGTCTCTCTCTCTCTGGTCTCTCTCTCTCTGGTCTCCCTTGCTGGTCTCCCTCTCTCTGGTCTCTCTCTCTCTGGTCTCTCTCTCTCTGGTCTCTCTCTCTCTGGTCTCTCTCTCTCTGGTCTCCCTCTCTCTGGTCTCCCTCTCTCTCTGGTCTCCCTCTCTCTCTGGTCTCTCTCTGGTCTCTCTCTGGTCTCTCTCTGGTCTCTCTCTGGTGTCTGCCTCCCTCTCTCTCTCTCTCTCTGGTCTCTCTCTCTCTGGTCTCTCTCTGGTCTCTCTCTCTCTCTCTCTCTCTCCCTCTCTCTGGTCTCCCTCTCTCTGGTCTCTCTCTGGTCTCAATCATTGGTCTCTCTCTGGTCGCTCTCTCTCTCTCTCTCTGGTCTCTCTCTGGTCTCTCTCTGGTCTCTCTCTCTCTCTCTCTCTGGTCTCTCTCTCTCTGGTCTCTCTCTGGTCTCTCTCTGGTCTCTCTCTGGTCTCTCTCTGGTCTCTCTCTGGTCTCTCTCTTTCTGGTCTCTCTCTGGTCTCTCTCTCTGGTCTTTGGTATTTCTGTGCTGTGACCTTGTTGTTGAGTCACTGTCTTGCCTGGGGTGGAGAGCTGACACGGGTCTAAACGTCACGCTGACCTCTGACATCGCTGTCGCCGTCACTGAGGAGTATCTGTGTGTTTGTTTCAGAGGCACCGCAGCCATCGGACCTCTGATCAAAGCTCTGAAGGAGGGGCGAGCCGTGGAGTTTGAGGGGAGACAGGTAAAGCATCTGTAGTAGCAGTCTGTCCCAGGGCAGCTGTGGCTACAATAGTCCCAACATGTAATAACACAGTCGGTGCGACAGTAGCTCAGTTGGTAGAGCATTGGCCTTAAGGCCAGAAGGTTGTGGGTTCAATTCCCACCTCTGCACCTTCTCCATCGACTCCCACGAATGACTGCTGTCGTTGTGTCCTTGGGCAAGACACTTAACCCCACTTTGCCCAAAGCCCCCACTGAAAGATCAAGGCTATGCTCACACTCAGAGAGCAGCCGTCCTCCTGTGGACTCACCACCTGCAGAGGGTCAGTGAGGGGCTGGTGCTATGAGACTTGGGTGGCATCTCTGACTGCCACCCCCCTGACCCAGAAATGGATTAAAGGGTAGAAAATGGATGGATGGATGGATGTAATAACACAATGGGATTCATCAGTAAAAGGGAACTGTGAACTGTTCTGATGGTACCCTCTCTCTGGTCTCTACCTGGTCTCTCCCTGGTCTCTCTACCTGGTCTCTCTCTCTGGTCTCTCTCTCTCTGGTCTCTCTCTCTGGTCTATGTCTCTCTCTCTGGTCTCTCTCTTTCTGGTCTCTACCTGGTCTCTCTCTTTCTGGTCTCTACCTGGTCTCTCTCTGGTCTTTCTCTCTGGTCTCTCTCTCTGGTCTCTCTCTCTCTGGTCTCTCTGGTCTCTACCTGTTCTGTCTCTCTCTCGCCTCTGGTCTCTCACAGATCCGACCGGACCAGGTGTGCACTCCCACAGACCCTGGTCCTGTGTTCCTGGTTGTAGAGTGTCCGACTGAGGACTTCATCCCACATGTCTGCACCAACCAGCAGCTTAGCAGGTCAGTAATACCCCTGTCTCTATGTGTCCCTCTGGTCTCACTCTGGTCTCACTCTGGTCTCACTCTGGTCTCACTCTGGCCTCTATCCCTAAATCTCTGTGGTTGATGGTCTTTTTTTCTTTCCTGGACCTGTACTTCCTGTTTTAGACTGACTCAGGGTGAGGACCCGGCTGCTCTGGTGGTCCATATAGTTCCTGAGTCGGTTCTGGGCTCGAAGCAATACCAGCAATGGATGGAGGCGTGAGTTTATCCAGGACTGAGACTGTAGACCCAGAGACTGAGACTGTAGACCCAGAGACTGAGACTGTAGACCCAGAGACTGAGACTGTAGACCCAGAGACTGAGACTGTAGACCCAGAGACTGAGACTGTAGACCCAGAGACTGAGACTGTAGACCCAGAGACTGAGACTGTAGACCCAGAGACTGAGACTGTAGAGCCAGAGACTGAGACTGTAGAGCCAGAGACTGAGACTGTAGACTCAGAGACTGAGACTGAGACTGTAGACCCAGAGACTGAGACTGTAGACCCAGAGACTGAGACTGTAGACCCAGAGACTGAGACTGTAGACCCAGAGACTGAGACTGTAGACCCAGAGACTGAGACTGTAGACCCAGAGACTGAGACTGTAGACCCAGAGACTGAGACTGTAGACCCAGAGACTGAGACTGTAGACCCAGAGACTGAGACTGTAGACCCAGAGACTGAGACTGTAGACCCAGAGACTGAGACTGTAGACCCAGAGACTGAGACTGTAGACCCAGAGACTGAGACTGTAGACCCTGAGACTGTAGACCCAGAGACTGAGACTGAGACTGTAGACCCAGAGACTGAGACTGAGACTGTAGACCCAGAGACTGAGACTGAGACTGTAGACCCAGAGACTGAGACTGTAGACCCAGAGACTGAGACTGTAGACCCAGAGACTGAGACTGTAGACCCAGAGACTGAGACTTTAGGGTCCTCCGCTTCTCTCCTCAGGTTCCCCTCCTCGACAGAGCACCTGGTCCTGAATGAGAACTCTCCCTCAGTTCACAATGTTCGCAGCCACAAACTGCAGACTCAGCTCCACATGGTCCAGCCGCAGGTGTTTCCTCTGCTGCACATGGTCCAGGCTCAAGTGAGGACTATCAACGCATCATGACATCACTCTAACATATACCATGCTGAGTCATACATGGTCTCCCTCTGGTCTCTCTCTGGTCTCCCTCTGGTCTCTCTCTCTGGTCTCTCTCTCTGGTCTCTCTCTCTGGTCTCTCTCTCTGGTCTCTCTCTCTGGTCTTTCTCTGGTCTCTCTCTGGTCTCTCTCTGGTCTCTCTCTGGTCTCTCTCTGGTCTCCCTCTGGTCTCCCTCTGGTCTCCCTCTGGTCTCCCTCTGGTCTCCCTCTGGTCTCCCTCTGGTCTCTCTCTGGTCTCTCTCTGGTCTCTCTCTGGTCTCTCTCTGGTCTCTCTCTGGTCTCTCTCTGGTCTCTCTCTGGTCTCCCTCTGGTCTCTCTCTGGTCTCTGGTTGTTGTGTTGCAGGAGCCTCAGTCCGCGCTCCACGTCCCTCACGTCAGAGCAGAGTGTTTGCTGAAGTTCCAGCTCAGACCAGTGATGGGCTGGGACAGGTCAGTGTCCACCAGGGGGCAGTGTGGGCAAAGAGTACAGAAGAATTTGTACTTGTATTCTCTTTGGCAAAACCAAAGTTAAGTCTTTATGATTGGTGAAAATAATCTAAACTTAAAGATATTTCTACGACATCAGAAGGAGATTTTACACATTATCTACTTTCTAACTCTCTGAACTCTGACCTTTGTGATAAGTTGTCAGGATGGAAAGCTTTCATCGTCTCTGTTAAAGGTTTGTACTAAAGAGAGTGTCCGTGTTTTCTGCAGAGACTCGATCCCCTGCTGTGACCAGGAGGAGTTTGTGCGAGAGGCTTCAGGGCTGCCACTGTTTCTGCAGGAGACGGAAAGATGCCGGAAACTGTGGACTGAAGGAGACACAGACCCAGGTCAGAGCAAGCCCCAGTGATCCAAGATGGGAGACCAGAGAGGGAGACCAGAGAGGGAGACCAGAGAGGGAGACCAGAGAGGGAGACCAGAGAGGGAGACCAGAGAGGGAGACCAGAGAGGGAGACCAGAGAGGGAGACCAGAGAGGGAGACCAGAGAGGGAGACCAGAGAGGGAGACCAGAGAGGGAGACCAGAGAGGGAGACCAGAGAGGGAGACCAGAGAGGGAGACCAGAGAGGGAGACCAGAGAGGGAGACCAGAGAGGGAGACCAGAGAGGGAGACCAGAGAGGGAGACCAGAGAGGGAGACCAGAGAGGGAGACCAGAGAGGGAGACCAGAGAGGGAGACCAGAGAGGGAGACCAGAGAGGGAGACCAGATGTAGATCCTGGTTTGATAAAGTGTGAGCACCTGTGTTATATATGAATAAATAAGTAAACAGTCTTCTCTCCTCAGGCTCCAGTCCGTATCCAGAGGTGGTGTTTTTAGGCACTGGTTCAGCTCTGCCCATGAAGACCAGGAACGTCAGCGGCACTCTGCTCAACATCAGGTCTCTACTCTACTTTACTCTGGTCTCTCTCGGGTCTCTCTTTGGTCTCTCTCTGGTCTCTTTCTTCCCACAGTCTCTCTCTGGTTTCTCTCTTTCTGGTGTCTCTTTTGCTGGTCTCTGTGATGTTGCTGGTGTCTCTTGCAGCTCGTCTCAGTCTCTGCTCCTTGACTGTGGTGAGGGCTCTTTCGGTCAGCTCTGCCGTCACTATGGAGACCAGGTGGACCAGGCCCTGTGCACCATCAACTGTGTGTTCATCTCACACATGCATGCAGACCATCACACGGTAAGAGACCAGAAAGCGCGAGAGACCAGAAAGCGCGAGAGACCAGAAAGCGCGAGAGAGACCAGAAAGCGCGAGAGAGACCAGAAAGCGCGAGAGAGACCAGAAAGCGCGAGAGAGACCAGAAAGCGCGAGAGAGACCAGAAAGCGCGAGAGAGACCAGAAAGCGCGAGAGAGGCCAGAGAACATGTTTTCTAGCAGCTCTGTTTGTACTGAATCTTCTTCTCTCTCAGGGTCTTCTCAGACTGCTGTACCAGAGACAGAGGGCACTGGTGAGATCTTTATTATTGTTTCTTCTAAAAAACAAACCATAAATATGTTAAATACAGCAGCACTTCTCCACTGATGGTACAGCTGCTTAATTCAGATAAACCAGGAGATCCTGACTCAATCTCAAATGTCTGCTGGTTTCACACTAAACTTTCCTCCTGCAGGAGTCTCTGGGGAAAGACTTCAGTCCTGTGTTTCTGGTAGGACCGACCCACATGGTGTCATGGCTGCGTCAGTACCATGAGTCCTGTCAGGAGATCCTGCACCACATCAAGTATGACACACTTACTAATGTTTTACTGTTTCACCAAGAGTCCAATCCAATCCAATCCACTTTATTTATATAGCACATTTCATAAACACGCAGTTTCCAAAGTGCTGCACAACATGCAAAATTGCAACAAATAAATAAATACACACATTTATATAAGAAAATACATAAATAAATAAAATAAAATAAAAACACAGAGGACCACACGACTCACGCGGTGTTAAAAGCCAGAGAATAAAAGTGGGTCTTAAGACGTGACTTAAAACATTCCAACGAGGGAGCTGTTTTGACGTGGGGGGGCAGGGCGTTCCAGAGCTTTGGTCCAGCCACAGAGAAGGCCCTGTCCCCCCGGGTTTTAAGTCTCGTCTTAGGCACCACGAGCTGGAGCTGGCTCTCGGACCTCAGTGCGCGGGGCGGGTGGTAAATCTGGATGAGGTCCGAGATGTAAGGAGGGGCCAGTCCATTCAGAGCTTTAAAAACAAACAATAAAATCTTAAAATCAATTCTAAAATGAACAGGAAGCCAGTGCAAGGACGCAAGGACGGGAGTGATGTGGTCGCGCTTTTTGGTTCCTGTTAAAAGCCGTGCCGCAAAGTTCTGGACTAACTGTAGCCGGTGAAGTGCCTTGTGTGAAATACCGGAGTAGAGTGCGTTACAGTAGTCCAGACGTGAAGAAATAAAAGCGTGCATAACTTTTTCAAAAAGGTTAAAAGATAAAAAAGTTTTAACCTTGGATAAAAGCCGCAGATGATAAAAACTAGATTTTAAAACACTGTTGACCTGCTTGTCAAATTTAAAATCACTGTCTATAGTGACGCCAAGGTTGGTGACTGTGGGACGCACATGTTCACTCAGCGGTCCCACATCCACCTGGTTGGCCCCAAAGAGAATCACTTCTGTTTTTTTATCATTCATTTTAAGAAAGTTTTGGGCCAACCAAGCCTTGACGTCACATAGACAGTCGAGTAGGGGTGTCAGGGGGCCATAAGCATTTTTTGCGATGGGAAAATAGATCTGACAATCATCCGCATAAAAATGATAAAAAAGGCCATGCTTTTTAAAAATCTCACTGAGTGGCAGGAGATAAAGAGAAAAGAGGATGGGGCCCAGAATTGATCCCTGAGGGACTCCACAGTGGAGGGGGGCAGAAGATGAGGTGGAATCCCCCAGCCTAACAATGAAGGACCGCCCCGACAGGTAAGAAGCAAACCAGGTAAGGGCGGTCCCCCCGACACCCACACAGTGTTCAAGTCTATTTAAAAGAATTGCATGGTCCACTGTGTCAAAGGCAGCAGTCAGGTCTAAAAGCACTAAAATGGAAGAATTACCAGAGTCTGCCATTAAGAACAAGTCATTAAAAACCTTTAAAAGTGCAGACTCAGTGCTGTGAAAAGCTTTATAACCTGACTGAAAAGTATCTAAAATCCCATTGGCCTCCAGAAAAGGTTGCAGCTGTGCAATAACGCATTTTTCTAAAATTTTGGACACAAACGGAAGTTTAGAAATGGGCCGATAGCTTGATAGAACTGTTGGATCAAGACTTGGTTTTTTAACTAATGGTTCGACAACAGCTCTTTTACAAAAGGAGGGAACAATACCAGAAAGAAGACTGCTATTGATAATTTTTGTGACTGATGTTCCAATAATACCCCAGACCTCTTTAAAAAACCGAGGTGGGAAAGGGTCCGTGCAACTGGACGAAGTTTTCAATTTGCTCACAAACTCTGTAAGTGCAGACAGTGAAACAGGCTCAAACTGACTAAAGACATTAGCACACAGAGTGGCTCCAACAGCATTAGCAAGTGGCAAAACTGATATATTTCCCCTAATAGTAGCGACTTTACCATTAAAAAATGAGAGGAATTTTTCACAAGTGTCCCTTGTCATCTCCAGTGTGGTGGATTGGAACGGGTTAAGAACAGAGCCAATAGTTTCAAAAAGAACATGAGGCTGACTTACTTCTGTACTTACTGAGTCAAAGACCACACCATGATTGCTTCATCTCTGGTCTCTTTCTGGTCTCCCGCTGGTCTCTCTATGATCTCCCTCTGGTCTCTCCCTCTGGTCTCTCCCTCAGGTCTCTCCCTCTGATCTCCCTCTGATCTCCCTCTGGTCTCTGTCTGGTCTCTGTCTGGTCTCTGTCTGGTCTCTGTCTGATCTCTCTCTGGTCTCTCTCTCTGGTCTCTCTCTCTGGCCTCTCTCTCTGGCCTCTCTCTCTGGTCTCTCTTTGTTTTAAACCTGGTGTGTCTGTGTTGTAGCTTCATCCCCAACAAAAGCCTGTGTGCGGGTGCAGAGGGGACCAGACCCAGAACCAAGACCATCCAGACTCTGCTGCAGAGGACCGGCCTGGACCAGGTCTGGGACTAAACCAGGAGAAAATTACACACACCGACTTGCTGGTCTCACAATCTCTCTGGTCGCTGTAAATTGGAAGCTCTTACTAATACATTTTCTTTTCTAATCTTAACAAACCAGGACTGAACACACACTGACTTTAACACTGACTATATATAATTGCATTTATCGTGTGTGTGTCTGTATGTGTGTGTCTGTGTTTCAGTTTGAGACGTGTTTTGTGCGTCACTGTAGGCACGCCTTCGCCTGTGCTCTCACACATCGCTCTGGGTGGAAACTGACCTTCTCTGGAGACACCATGCCCTGTGAGGCCCTGGTTACCATAGGTCAGTCCCGCTCCACATGGTTTTACTCCAGGGTGAGGGAGAGACCAGAGAGAGAGAGAGACCAGAGAGAGAGAGAGACCAGAGAGAGAGAGAGACCAGAGAGAGAGAGAGACCAGAGAGAGAGAGACCAGAGAGTCAGTGAATCTCTGGTTACTATGGGTCGGTCCTCTCCAACAGATTACAACCAGTGTGAGCAAGTAACTGTAAATGTATTTGAGTTTCTTCGGCGTGTGTTTGACTCCAGGACGAGACTCTACGCTGCTGATCCACGAGGCGACTCTAGAGGACGCTCTGGAGGCCGAGGCACTGGAGAAAAAACACAGGTGAGACCAGAGACATAGAAGTCAGTAGGACCTGGAGAGAGGAGCCAGACTTCTCCCTTCCCCTTCCATTCATCACCATGTGTTCATCACCATGTGTTCATCACCATGTGTTCATCACCATGTGTTCATCACCATGTGTTCATCACCATGTGTTCATCACCATGTGTTCATCACCATGTGTTCATCACCATGTGTTCATCACCATGTGTGAATGGAAAAATATCTGGTTTCTGAACAGTCGAAAGTGTTTGGGTGAACTTGGTCTGTAAAATGTGCTTTATAAATAAACCTTACTTACTTGCTTCCTTCCTTCCCTGGTGGGCTTCACTGAGCTAGCGTGTTAGCTTCACTGAGCTAGCATGTGTATAACCCTGTGCTGTGTGTCCGCAGCACCACCTCTCAGGCCATCTCTGTGGGGATGCAGATGGAGGCCGGCTTCATCCTCCTCAATCACTTCAGTCAGAGATACGCCAAGATCCCCCTGTTCAACTCCCACTGCGACAGAGTGGGGATCTCCTTCGACCATATGAGGGTGAGAGACCAGAGAGGGAGACCAGAGAGGGAGACCAGAGAGGGAGACGAGAGAGGGAGACGAGAGAGGGAGACGAGAGAGGGAGACGGACCAGAGAGGGAGACGGACCAGAGAGGGAGACGGACCAGAGAGGGAGACGGACCAGAGAGGGAGACGGACCAGAGAGGGAGACGGACCAGAGAGGGAGACGGACCAGAGAGGGAGACGGACCAGAGAGGGAGACGGACCAGAGACGGAGACGGACCAGAGAGGGAGACGGACCAGAGAGGGAGACGGACCAGAGAGGGAGACGGACCAGAGAGGGAGACGGACCAGAGACGGAGACGGACCAGAGAGGGAGACGGACCAGAGAGGGAGACGGACCAGAGAGGGAGACGGACCAGAGAGGGAGACGGACCAGAGAGGGAGACGGACCAGAGAGGGAGACGGACCAGAGATGGGTGGAGAAACCAGAGAGAGATTCATTTTTCGAATGTATTTTTGTTTCAGGTTCGTTTCAAAGACCTGAAGCTGCTTCCTGTCCTCACTCCGGCTCTGAAGGCTCTGTTTGCAGAAGACCTGAGTGAGCTGGAGGAAGAGCGAGACCGAAGAGAGCTGAGAAACCTCCACAAACCATCAAAGACAGAGGAGAGGGAGACCAGAGAGCTGAGAAACCACCACAAACCAGTAGAGACCAAGGAGACAGAACCCCCGGAGCTGCAGTCCCAAGAGCCTCCTGCAGGGGTCAAACGTGAGGCAGAGGGCGGAGCCTCAGACCCACACAGCAAGAGACTGAAGTCCAGCTGATGCATGTTTTGGTTGATTTGAAGTGATTTAATTTAAATGCAGTGCAGCAGTTTGTACAGTTTACTTTGAACCACAAAGATCAAAGCTTTGTTTTATTATTTCCACAAACTGTAGAGAGGTGATGTCACATGACAGAATAAACCTCTGCTTTGGAAACGCCTTGTTTTACTGAGTCTGTGTGACTCTTTTATACAATGTTTTTCATAACAATTATCGGTGAGAGGGAGAGACCGCAGAGGGACCAGAGACCACAGAGGAAGAGGGAGACCAGAGAGACCACAGAGGGACAGGAGAGCACAGAGGGAGAGGGAGACCAGAGAGAAAGAGGGTAGAGAGACCAGAATAGTCCTCAGTTTTGTCACAATGGCCTCCTTCAGTCTTAGTTCTAACTCTGGTTCCAACTAAAACACCGTTGCAGTCTCTTGTTAAATCTTCAGCTCTGGTCTCTGATGTGTTAAACTGTCTCGTCCCTGAGTTTACGGTCAGACCTTCAGGATCCAACATGTCTCGATAAAAGTCCTGACTCTGGTTTATAGTTCAGAGGAATAAAAAGTATTTATGACGTCTTTGGTTCAGTGCTGAGGCTTTTACCACATCACGACATCCTCTCAGTGAAACAAAGGTAGTTCTGGCTCATCATAGACTCATGACAGAGACCAGAGCGAGACCATATGAAGGGCAGTCACATTTCTTCATCAACAAATCAGATTCAAAGCTGTAAAACATATAGTTTTAATAGTTTAAGATTGTGTTACATTCATTATTATCACCTGCACAGACAAGAGACTGAAGCAAGAAATACACTAAACATTCACACATGTCCTCGTTCTAGAACACCAGAGAGACCAGAGAAAGAGAGAGACCTTCACAGAGAGTCCATGTCCACAGGGGCCCGCAATGCTCTGGTCTTCCCCCAGGTTGGTGCTCTGTCCCTGGGCTTCAGAGGACTGTGGTTCGGGTAGACCTCCACGGCTCCAGAGATGGACTGGACGGGACGCTCAGACAGGTAGTGGAAGGAGCTTGGGTTCAGGTCCGGGTGCAGGTCTCGGTCCGGATGCAGGTGCAGGTCTAAGTCTGGGTCCAGGTCCTGGACCAGGTCTTGGTGTAGGTAGACCCCCTCCTCCCTCAGTCCCTGCTCGAACAGTCTGCGTTTGTGCCTGAACTCGATCACAGTCTTGGTGTAAGAGTTGAGTGTGGTGACAGAGGCTCCCATGCAGCAGGTGAAGGAGGCCCAGGCCAGACTGGGGGAGAGAGGGGTGAGGAGAGGAGAGTTTGTTTAAGATGTGATTTAGAATTAGAATAACAAAACAAAACGGAACACAACAAACCAGAAAGAGACCAGGGAGTGAACAGAAAGACCAGACAGACCAATCAGAGAGAAAGAAGAGCATTTGGAGAGAAAAGGGACAATGACATCATGAAGTGTCTCATTCACATTGAGCAATTTAGAGCAATTTCCAATGTAAATGTTCCACACGCACTACCTTCTTTAGGAAAGAGCAGAACATGCAACAGCCCAGTGAGATACTGACCAGAAGGACCAGTGAGATACTGACCAGAAGGACCAGTGAGATACTGACCAGAAAGACCACCCATAGTCCCAGCTGTGAGGTCTCCAGTCCTCTGGTCCCAGACTCACTGTGATCTGAAAGACCTGAGTGTACATCATGTGGGCCACCATCCCCAGAAGACCTGGAACACAAGGAAGTCCGGATCAGAGGGAGACCAGAGAAAGAGAGACCAGAGAGAGACCAGAGAGAGACCAGAAAGAGACCAGAGCGAGATCAGAGAGAGACAAGAGAGAGACCAGAGGGACCAGATAGAGACCAGAGAGATCAGAGAGAGAGACCAGAGACAGACCAGAGAGAGCGCAAAGAGAGAGATCAGAGAGAGAGACCAAGGAGGGACCATAAAGAGAATCTGAATTTCTGTAAATTAAAGATAGAACACAAACAATATAGGTCTAAAAAGCATGATAAAATCTGATTGTAAACTAGTAAACATTCTCACAATGTTAATGGACCAAAATGAACCCAGATGACAGATGTGTGTGTGTCTGTGTGTGTCTGTGTGTGTGTGTGTGTGTCTGTGTGTGCCTCTGTGTGTGTGTCTGTGTGTGTCTGTGTGTGTGTGTCTGTGTGTCTGTATGTGTCTGTGTGTGTGTGTGTGTGTGTGTGTGTGTGTGTGTGTGTGTGTGTGTGTGTGTGTGTGTGTGTGTGTGTGTGTGTGTGTGTGTGTGTGTGTGTGTGTGTGTGTGTGTGTCTGTGTGTGTGTGTGTGTGTGTGTGTGTGTGTGTTGCCAGTGGATTTCACTTTAAGAGGTTTATGTGTTGCTCCTTGGCACAAAGTCAGAAACAGAAGCTGACCTTTTAATCAGTGTCTGCAAACATTCAGCACCAGGACTGACTAAAGCAGGACTAAAGCAGGTCTAGGGCAGGACTAAAGCAGGTCTGAAGATGGACTAAAGCAGGTCTAAAGCAGGTCTAAAGCAGGACTAAAGCAGGTCTGAAGATGGACTAAAGCAGGTCTAAAGCAGGACTAAAGCAGGACTAAAGCAGGTCTGAAGATGGACTAAAGCAGGTCTAAAGCAGGACTAAAGCAGGTCTACAGCAGATCTAAAGCAGGACTAAAGCAGGTCTAAAGCAGGACTAAAGCAGGTCTACAGCAGATCTAAAGCAGGACTAAAGCAGGACTAAAGCAGGTCTAAAGCAGGACTAAAGCAGGACTGAAGCAGGACTAAAGCAGGACTGAAGATGGACTAAAGCAGGACTAAAGCAGGTCTAAAGCAGGACTAAAGCAGGACTAAAGCAGGACTAAAGCAGGTCTAAAGCAGGACTAAAGCAGAACTAAAGCAGGACTAAAGCAGAACTAAAGCAGGACTAAACCAGGACTAAAGCAGGACTAAAGCAGGACTAAACCAGGACTAAAGCAGTTCTACCGGAGAGGACGGTGAAGACGGCGGCGAAGGCGTTAATTTTGAGTCCATCAATGACATTTGTGGAGTGAAAGAGTTCCAGACACATCAGAGAAAAACCCACAACCAGGAGGAGGATGTAGAGGACCTCAGAGACCACAGAGAGCCATAGGACCCCTGAGAGACAACAGAGAGAGAGAGACCATTAGAGACCAGGGACCACGAAAGACCAGAGAGAGAGAGAGATCAGCAAGAGACCAAAGAGAGAGAGAAACACCTTCATGAGGTGTTTCAGACTCACCTCTCTCTGAGGCCGGGGCCAGGTCAATGAAGCTGCGGCAGTTTTCCCCTGAACAACACAAACACGAGTCAGAAGTAAATAATTTCAAGATATTTAATTACCTTTAGGTTCATGTTGGCTCATTGTCAGAGAAGAAGCCTGTCTCACATTATCAGGAAGACTGTTTAAATCTGAAATGCTGCCTCCCCATTATAATTCCTGACTCTGGGACCAGTAAGAGGCCAGTCCCTGTGCTTTTTCTTTTTTATTAACATTATCCACATGTTTAATAAAAATCACCAGCCTAAAGTCTGTGCACACAACTTAAAGCAACTTGTTAAAATTGTTTTGTTTTTCTTTCTTTCTCTGAATCAGACTCTCAGAGGCCGGTCTTCACTGTGAGGACCATAGACTGTAAATACTGAGGCTTATGCATTACATCATTAGTTTGCTTTTCGTCGTAAGAGGCTCACAACATGAGATAAAAGAGTCTATGGGATGGGGGAGAGGGGAGAGAGAGAGAAAGGGGAAAGGGGAGAGAGAGATGGGAGAGAAGGGGGAGAGGGAGAGAGAGAGAGAGAGAGAGAGAGAGAGGTCACAGAGACAGACCAGAGAGAGAGGCCAGTTTATGTCTGTAGTAAATACCAGACATCCAACTATTGCTTTAATATTTCACGGTCTTGATGTGGACAAACTGCCACTAACTGTGATGTGCAATGCCTAACAGTGCCACTAGGGGCGCATGCGCAATGACACGGGCCAAGGGCAGCATAAACCCGGCAGTTTGAGGACAAGACGTACATTTGGTCTCCTGTTTTCCTTTATCAGGTTTGTTAAATGTTTGCAGAAGAACATGGACAACATGCTGTTGTTGTTGAAACATTATCAATGAACTTGTGTAAATATGATACTGTCTGAGGTGAAGTGAACCGTGTTAGGAGTTGAATGCTAACATGCTAAGCTAGCGGAGACTTAATATTTACAGTCTATGTTCCAACCTAACTCACTGTAGAAATAATAACAGGTGTCAAAGGTAAATCTTTCCTTCTAGAGGAGCAGTTTACACACAGTGAGTGTGCACAAAGTGGAATGTACAAATGAAGAATAGTGGGACAGGCGGCCATGTTGAATGTCACACAAGTGTTACTATGGTTACTAGAACCAGTGGCACGGTGGCTGAGTGGATAGCACTCTCGCCTCTCAATAAGAAGGTCCTGGGTTCGAATCCCGGTCGGACCAGGCCTTTTGTGAGTGGAGTTTGCTCCCCGTGTCTGCGTAGGTTTCCTCTGGGTGCTCCGGTTTCCCCTACCACTAAAAATATGTCCAATAGTTCTAGCATGCGCCTCCTGTACTGGCCCCGCTCCCATCTCTGTGTGGAGTGAGAGACAAATGCCCAAAAATTAACAATTGTAAACCGCTTTGAGACTCAGATCTGCAGTGAAAAGGCGGTATATAAATAAAGATTACTTACTATAATACTTTCATTTGGCTTTGGGAACAGAATTAGATGTATATGTGATGTGAAAACATTCATAATGTATAAACATGTCTGAAAAATGTCTGAAAAAAGCAGACTAATGATGAGCTTAATACAAACTCATATTTGGTCTCTTGTTCTTGTTTCTCACGGTTTACGATTCTGCCCCTCTCGGGAGGGAAACACACTGAGTCACTAAAGTCAGGTTCCTGAGCTCTGTCTCACCTGGCTGCAGGATGTCTTCCTCGCAGGACGCCCAGATCCCAGTGTGGAAGCGGCGGAACAGAAATCGGTCGTCGCCGGTGTCCCAGCTGTAGTGCACCTTGCTCTGGTCCGTCTCGTTCACGCCGTAGTCGATGCAGTTGTGACGTCGCAGTTTGCTGCAGGTGGGTTTGGGCACACGCTGTGTCCCCACGCACCAATACGAACTCATGAACGCACAAGTGGAGAACAGCAGCGCCAGGAAGTTCAGGCTCACGGACAACAGTGCGCGAGCCCTGCGCGTGCACGCCATGTTCTTACCACGTGCACACACGCATACTGCTCACACTGTCCACACGGCCCTCAGACAGAGAGACTCACCACAGACACAGAGACTCCCTCACAGTGGGTCCTGAGAGCATAGAAAGCACTACCCACACAACTGTTTGATTCTCTGATCTGTTGTTGATAAATACACAACTTTCTAAAGTCCTTTGAAACTAATGTTGCTGGGAGAGCGTGTGTCCCATGGATTGAGATTTAAGGACAGAAACAAATTCGATTGCTGCAGTTAGGAAATTATGAAGCTAGGAAAGTGTTCAAAGTGCAGTCCCTGGTCTCTCTGTCTGGTCTTTCTTTGGTCTCTCTCTGGTCTCCCTCGCTGGTCTCTCTCAAGTCTCTCGCTGGTCTCTCTCTGGTCTCTCTGTCTGGTCTTTCTCTGGTCTCTCTCTGGTCTCCCTCAGGTCTCTCTCGTAGATCTTGTTGGTCTCTCTCTCTCTGTTGTTCCCTGTTTTTGTAATATTTTTGCAGTATATGCTCAAATGTATATATTGTCCAGTTTCTAAAAAGTTTAAGTATTTGTTTCTATTTGATTATTGCTACTTTTGAAACTTGTAAAATGCATTTAATTCAGATTCAGAGACACTGCCTTCATCAGCTGTTAGATCCTTAGGATCCTTGTGTTTCTCAGATACTTCGGTGGCTGATAAATTTCTGCCTAAAATTTCTGCCAATTTTAATTACGATTAATCAAGCAGCCCTACCCCAGAGCCGGTCCTCAGAGTCCAGAGCCCAGAGAGTCCACAGCCCAGAGAGTCCTCAGTCTTGAGAATCTGGAGTCTCCGAAGCACACGGTCAGATTATAAAGCTGCTCTCTCTCTTCCTTCGTCACTCTCTCTCCCCTCTCTCTCTCTTTCTCCTCTCTCAGTCTCTGTCTCTCTTTCTTCTCTCTGTCTCTCTCTCCTCTCTCCCCCTCTCTCCCTCTCTTTCCCCATCTCTCCCTCTCTCTCTGACTTATTTCTCCTGTGTGTGTTTATAATTAAAGATGTTTCGGGGACGGACCTTTTGTGTTTATGGAAGTGAGTGTGTTCACAGTAAAGTGACAATTGAAGTATCTGGACTTTAAAAGGTTATAACTTAAAAACTAAAATTACTTTCATAGATTGGAAAAAAAGATTTCAAACACAGACACATTGAAGAGATAGTGTGGAAAAAATCAAAAGGAAAGATTGACATAAAAATGTTTAGCAACATTTTAAACGACCAAAGGAGCCTCTGATTGGACCATTCTACTGTGACGCCAGTTACATAGAAAATAAAATGTCCTCAGTCTGAAAAAGCAGAAGATGAAATCCCACAAGATTTACATTAACACAACAGAAGGAAATCACTTGATATAAAAAAGAATCGTTAAAAAATTAAAAATAATTGATTAATTAAATGACCCCTGAAAAATGTATAACGGACGTGATGAGGACGGTCCTCTTTTCTCTAAAAAAGACTAAAAAGTCTGTTTTCACATTTATTTGCTTGACAATATGAAAGTATCAGTTTGCATCTACTTTGTGTAAAAAAATAGAATCTCTGAATCAAATGTGGACATCTGAAAACACCATCAAACTTCCACAAAGCTCATTCCGTCAAATCATCGTCCGTTACATAAAATAAACAGGGCGCTGTAGGAAACTTGTCTAATGTATAAAACAGTTTTGTTCTAGCAACTTCTAATGGACAGAGGAGGTGTTTGGAAACATGAAAAACATAAAATATCTTCTGATTATTAAAATCTAATTTTTGGCCTTTTGTCACACTTTTGTGTCCTTTAGTGTGAACAAGCCCAGATACAGTTCAAATCCATCAGTGAAGCAGGAATCAGGAATTATAATTTGCTTCTCTGGTCTCTCACTCTGGTCTCTCTCTGGTCTCTCTCTGGTCTCTCTCTGGTCTCTCTCTGGTCTATCTCTGGTCTTTCTGGTCTCTCTCTCTCTGGTGTCTGGTCTTTATCGGCTTCTCCACCTGCACCTATCACCGGCACAAAAGCAGAGCGTCATAATCCACAACAGACCAGGGCCAGGGCCAGGACCAGGACCAGGACCATGAATGGACCACTTATACACTCTTCCTACCACATGAACAAAGGAGAGAGAGAGAGCGTAGAGACTAAAGAGAGCGTTTCCGGATGATGTCACACGTGTTATTGACAAACTGTAATGATAATTTAGTAATCTCTCGCCTGATTGGTTTTAATAACTGTGCTGTTGTTGAGTCCCACTTTAATCATATCTGAACAACTGGAGGCTGAATGAATGAAGTTTCCCCCGCAAGCAGCAATAAAGGCATCAGGACTGTCTATGAATGTCTGCACCAAGACTAAAGTCTCGTTCTGGGGTTGACCAGTTTGAAGATCGGGAAAATTCAAGAAAATATCAATATTGAATGAAGCTAAAAACGTCTCCAGGTCCTTCACAGAGGTCAGAGGGAATGCTGCGCTCTGATTGGCTCCCGCTGAGTCCTCCAGATGCAGACCAGGTGTGCCGGCCAGAAGTGTTTCATTAGACTCTTATTAATGTAGCAACAAAAACAACAAGGAAAAAAAAGGCTAGAGGAGATTACTTTTACATCTACGTCAGTCGGAGCCAAACTTCACCATGAGCACTTCCCTATTGTAATGTAATGAGCTACCGGGTTAGCATTGTCCGTCTGTTTACAAGTCAATTCATTTCTGTACAGCCCTAAATCACAACAGCAGTTATCTTGTAGGACTTTACATTTGTTGATTTGCCAACAGAGAATCGGACTGTTCCGTCTCTCGTTCGTCTTTTGGGTCTCTCGCTTGTCCTTCTCTCTGGTCTCTCTCTTGTCTCTCTGGTCTCTCTTTCAGATCTCTCTCTGGTCTCTCTCTGATCTTTCTCTGATCTCTCTCTGGTCTTTCTCTAGTCTCTATCTGGTCTCTCTCTGGTCTCTCTTTCTGGTCTCTTTCTTTCCTTCTTTAGTCTCTCTCTGGTCTCTCTCTAGTCTCTCTCTGGTCTCTTTCTGATCTCTCTCTGATCTCTCTCTGGTCTCTCTCTGGTCTCTTTCTGATCTCTCTCTGATCTCTCTCTGGTCTCTCTCCGGTCTCTGGTCTCTCTCTAGTCTCTCTCTGGTCTCTCTCTGGTCTCTGGTCTCTCTCTCTGGTCTCTCTCTGGTCTCTCCCCGGTCTCTGGTCTCTCTCTGGTCTCTCTCTGGTCTCTCTCTGGTTTCTCTCTGGTCTCTCTCTGATCTCTCTCTGGTCTCTCTCTGGTCTCTGGTCACTCTCTGGTCTCTCTCTGGTCTCTCTCTGGTCTCTCTCCGGTCTCTGGTCTCTCTCTAGTCTCTCTCTGGTCTCTCTCTGGTCTCTGGTCTCTCTCTGGTCTCTCTCTGGTCTCTCCCCGGTCTCTGGTCTCTCTCTGGTCTCTCTCTGGTCTCTCTCTGGTTTCTCTCTGGTCTCTCTCTGATCTCTCTCTGGTCTCTCTCTGGTCTCTGGTCACTCTCTGGTCTCTCTCTGGTCTCTCTCTGGTTTCTCTCTGGTCTCTCTCTGGTCTCTCTCCGGCCTCTGGTCCGTATACAGTCTGTATTCTTGATTGTCTGGAAGAATAGAAACACATCCTATAATTCAGACTTTATTTAGAGCAGACTCTACAGAATACACAGAGTAAATGATGTTTGTATATTTAATATTGTGAAACTATGTTGATACTTGAATAGGTCTGACCAAATCCTACATTGGTTTAATTCTAACAAGATGCAGAATAAGACTATGTTAAAGTGACATGCAGTAAAAAGAGGAGCTTATAGCAGTTTTACACAGGTGACCTCTGACCTCTGGCCCCTCTGTGTTTGTGGAAAGGTCAAAGGTTGAAAAGCCTCACAGGGAAACACCAAGATAATAATACTCATTACTATTGTTGACCTCATGCTAATAAACTGGAATAAACAAACCCAAAACAGAAATTATAATACACAAGAAAACGTTTGTGTTAAGTCGAATCAGTCTGAGTCCTGGGTCTGGATCTTGGGGGGTTTGGTCTTTCTCTCGGTCCAGGTCTAGTATTTGGTCAGGTCTTGGGTCTGGTTTTGGTCCTGGTATTAGTCTTCATATTGGTCTGTTTTTAGTCCATGTCTACTCTTTGGTCTGATTATAGGCCTGTTCTAGTTTTGGGGCAGGTCTCGGTCTGGTCCAGGTCCTGGTCTTGGTCCCTGTGAGAAGCAATCTTGGTGTTCTGGTTTATTCAGTGGTTGTTGCTGGTTTCTTGCGGACCAGCCTCCTGTTAGGTCTGGCTCCTGGGTTAGAGGCCGGGACGGAGGCTGGGTTCGGGTTCTGGGTCTGGGTCTGGGTCCCTTTTGTCTTCAGCTCGTCTATGAAGGTCTCCACAGCGGTGAACTTCTCGGTGAGTTCCCCCAGATGAGCTTTCAGAGCGTTGAACTCTTTGTACAAATCGTCCAGAGCCTCAGACAGAGGCTGGATCCTGAAACACAAATATACTGGTCTCTCTCTGGTCTCTCTCTGGTTTCTCTCTCTGGTTTTCTCTGGTTTCTCTCTCTGGTCTCTCTCTGATTTTTCTCTCTGGTTTCTTTCTGGTTTCTCTCTCTGGTTTTTCTCTCTGGTTTTTCTCTCTGGTTTCTCTCTCTGGTTTCTCTCTCTGGTTTCTCTCTCTGGTCTCTCTCTGGTCTCTCTCTGGTCTCTCTCTGGTTTCTCTCTCTGGTCTTTCTCTATGGTCTCTGGTCTCTCCCTCTGGTCTCTCTCTGGTCTCTCCCTCTGGTCTTTCTCTCTGCTGGTCTCTGCTAGCAGCAGCCGCAGCAGCAGCAGCAGCAGCCGCAGCAGCAGCAACAGCAGCAGCAGCCGCAGCAGCAGCAACAGCAGCAGCAACAGCAACAGCAGCAGCAGTAGCAGCAGCAGCAGCAGTAGCAGCAGCAACAGCAGCAGCAGCAGCAGCAGCAGCAGCAGCAGCAGCAGCAGCAGCAACAGCAGCAGCAGCCAGCAGCAGCAGCAGCAGCAGCAGCAACAGCAGCAGCAGCAGCAGCAGCAGCAGCAGCAGCAGCAGCAGCAGCAGCAGCAGCACAGCAGCAGCAGCAGCAGCAAGCAGCAACAGCAGCAGCAGCGCAGCAGCAGCAGCAGCAGCAGCAGCAGCAGCAGCAGCAGCAGCAGCAGCAGCAGCAGTAGCAGCAGCAGCAGTAGCAGCAGCAGCAGATAACCGTCTCTCACAGGAGCAAGAGCTGTTGTTTATTTTACTTTGTCTTAATGTGTTTCCGTGGTTACCAACTCCACCACTGCTTCTATTTTAACTATTCAACGGAAATGTTTTTCTGTTCAAAACCACAGAGACTTTATGACTTTACTTTCCAGGCGTAATAACGGATCTGGAGTTTGGAGAAGTCGGGAGGAACTAACTCTGCTCTGTGGTGGTGCATGGCCGCTCTCATCTTTCTCTCTGGTCTCTCTCTCTGGTCTCTCTCTCTGGTCTCTCTCTCTGGTCTCTCTCTGGTCTCTTTTTGGTCTCTCTCTCTGCTTTCTCCCTGGCCTCTCTCATCTTTCTCTCTGGTCTCTCCCTATTCTCTCTCTTGTCTCTCGCTCTGGTCTCCTTGGTCTCTCTCTGGTCTCTTCCTGGTATCTCCCTGGTATCTGGTACCTTGCATAGTCCGGGAGCAGGCTCTGATGGTCGTTGGTCAGCTGGTTCTTCATCTGGTTGATGATGTCATACTTCCAGTTGTCCAGGACCTCGGTCAGATTGGCCACGTTCTTCATGTTCACCTTATCAGCTGCAGAGACAGACACAGAGCAAAGTCTACAGACACAGAGCCGGCTCTACAGACACAGAGCCGACTCTACAGACACAAAGCCGACTCTACAGACACAGAGCCGACTCTACAGACACAGAGCCGACTCTACAGACACAGAGCTTACTCTACAGACACAGGTTGGAGCTGACTTGCAGCACAAAGAGGCAGAGACTCAGGACAGGAGTTGGACTGTGACAAAGACTGGAACTTGACTCTTTCTCTGGTCTCTCTCTGGTCTCTCTCTCTCTGGTCTCTCTCTGGTCTTTCTCTGGTCTCTCTCTGGCCTCTCTCTCTCTGGTCTCTCTCTGGTCTTTCTCTGGTCTCTCTCTGGCCTCTCTCCGGTCTCTCTGGTCCCTCTCTCTGGTCTCTCTCTCTGGTCTCTCTCTCTCTGGTCCCTCTCTCTGGTCTCTCTCTCTGGTCTCTCTCTCTCTGGTCTCTCTCTCTGGTCTCTCTCTGGTGTCTCTCTCTGGTTTCTCTTTCTGGTCTCTCTCGCTGGTCTCTCTCTCTCTCACTACTGGTCTCTCTGGTCGCAGTTCCTGGTCCTGGTTCCACATGGTTCCAACACTCACAGCCGGCTCGGTAGTCCCACTCGTCCGTTGTGGTCGTGGTGGTGGTCCGCGAGTTGGCCTTGGCTCCGCCCCCTCCGCGCCTCTGAGCCGTCACCACGACAACCAGCATCAGCATCAGGACCAGGCTAAGTCTGGGCGCCATCGTTACTGCGCTGTATCTGCGGACGAAGAGGGAGCATCATTGTGTGTTTCCCATAGCAACCTCCTAACAACAACATTATACAGGCAGAATGGATTCAATCTAATTCTAAAAATACTGAGTCATAAAATCCATGTCTTACATCTCTCACAGACCAGGGACTTTTACAAATGTATTCCAATGGGGTTTAACTGCAAATGACAAATAAACGGAATCTGAATCTGATCAGAGACTACTACTGCCCCTGCTGCTACTGCTACTAACACTGCTAATGCTACTACTACTACTACTGCTACTGCTGCTGCTGCTGCTGCTGCTGCTGCTGCTACTTCAGGGTTGGTGAGTGCAGGAGGAGGTTCTCTGTGGTTTTGTTTTTTACTAATGAAGGTTTGAGGCGTTCCCTCAGAGTCTGTGGTTCAAAATCAGCTACAATTCATAACAACTGACTACAAAGAGTTCTGTTTCCACCAGACCTACTCTACTCTACTCTGCTCTGCTCTGCTCTGCTCTGCTCTACTCTACTCTACTCTGCTCTGCTCTGCTCTGCTCTGCTCTGCTCTGCTCTACTCTACTCTACTCTACTCTACTCTACTCTACTCTACTCTACTCTACTCTACTCTACTCTACTCTACTCTACCCTGATTGGGATTGTTTCCTCTGGTCCTGTGAAACCAATACCAGGTCCTTCTTTAGTCCCTATTGGTCCTTGGTGTTGGCTGGATACTGGTAGAGCAGATCCCTCTCTCAATGTGGATCTCCCCAAGGTTTCTCACTTTTCTCCCACTGGGTTTTAGAGTTTTTCCTCTGGGACATATAGAGCTACAATAAACCATAAAGGCTACTGTGGACTCACCACTTGCAGGAGGATCATGATGGGCTGGTGCAATATGAATTGGGTGCAGCTCTGACTGCCACCCCCCCACCCAGAAATGGACTAAGGGGAAGAAATTGGATGGAGGGATAAACCATAAAGGCAGCGTCTCCAAATTCATGATTCACAGAAACAAACAGGACGACAGCTGTTGGAGGCTGTGGCCCTGAACCCTCACCCTGAGCTGTCAATCATCATGATTAAAGCTGTGTCTCTGGAGCCATGAGGCTGAAACTAATGACTACAAACACGTAGAGCAAGTCTCAACAGAGCACTGAGAATAACACCATAGAGCAGAACCATAGAGCTGTCTCAACAGAGCACAGAGAATAACATGGGTTTTGCTCTTTTGCTTGTGATTCTCGTCGGTTTCTGCTAAGCATTTCTTATTCCGCTGCTGCGCTCTCCTATGGTTCTCTTCAGTCATCTGTCCTCTCTCTGGTGTATCTCAGGTCTCTCTGGCTCACTCTGTATCTTCTTCTTGTGTCTCTCAGGTTCTCTCCTCTGGTCTCTCTCGGTCTCGTCTGCCCCTGTGTCACGGTGCCGGGTTAGCTGTTTTTTCAGTAGAGTGAATTATCCTCTTGTACTTGCTGACCTGTATCAGTAAAATACATTTTATGCGTTATGATATGATATGATAGCATCTCCCTGTGAGAGTGATCGCCTCTGCTGCTTCTGCCTCAAGTTCCTTTCAAGGTGTTATGACCTCTCCCTGGGGCTCTGAGGCCCTGAGTTGGGACCTGTGGTCGGGCCGGCCAAACCCTGACCGCTGTATTTCCGGGTCCATGCTGATCAAACTGTCTCTTTCTCTACAAGTGCTGAAACTCTAAACTTCTACAGAAGTCACTTGTGAGTTTATGAATTCCCTTTCCTCCCTCGCTCATCCGTTCCCCTTTCCCTCGGTTCTTCTCTCAGCGCCTCATCTCCGTTCACCCCTTTCTCTTTCTTCTCTCCTCTCCGCGCATCCGTTCCCCCTTTCCTCGTTCTTCTCTCCCCCTCTCTTCCGTGCCCACCTTCTTCCCTCTTTCTTCTCCTCCTCTCATCTCTCTCCTCTCTCCTCTTTCCCTTTTCCTCCTTTCTTCCTCTCCTCTCCTCTCTCCTTTCCCCTTTCCCCTTAATTCCCTCTTTCTCCCTCCTCTCCTCTCTCACTCTCCTGCTGGCACCACGGCCGCTTGCGTCGACCTCACTCTCACTTCCTCGCGCCCGCTCTTTGCACTTTCCTCCTTTTCTCTCTCACTCTCCTCTCTCCCCCTTTTTCCCCTCTACGCACTTGGTTTGTCTCTTTGTTTAGTTAGTAGTCTTCTTTCTGGGAACACAAAGAAAGTTACATTTCCCTAGATTTTTACTCTTTTACGGTCTGACGTCTTTTTTTTTAACTTGATTCATGCTTTGTCAATGTTCAATAGGTGTCTTAGGTTGATTTTCAGTTTTCGTAATTTTAGTATTCCATATTATCAATATCTTCTACAACGTTCCTTGGCTTCGGATTGGCTCTCACAGACTCTGCAAACGCTTCTCCCGCAGACCCTTGCCGTTGCTGGTAACAGCAGCTATGCGATCTGATGCTAAACACAATCCCTCTCGTGTTTCTGGACTTTTCCGGAGTATTAAAGCATTTTGAGGTTGAGCGCGCTTTCTCCGCCAATCCGCTGCTCCGCTTGCCATGGCGGCTTTAAGGTCGGTAATACACCGCTACGTTCGACTTACTGGTGAATAGCCTTGTGTTATACACTCCGAATTTGCCGACGCTGCTTGCATGCTTTTGCTATAGTCTGTTTCTTGATCCAAAAGTAAAATGGCTCTCGCCCGTTTGCACATTTTTGCAGGTCTTAATAGTATGTTTTGGCTGGGATAAAGGCTTAGTTATCAGTATATCGGTACTCTTTATTAGTTTAGGTTTTTGTTGGTTTGTGTGGGCTGTGATCTCCATCTGGTCTAGCTCTGGTCAATTTCCTTCTGGTCTCTCTCTCGGGCCTGTCCCCTACGGGTCTCTCTCTCTGCTGTCGCTTTCTGTGCACTCTAACTTTACTTTCTCCTGGTAGTGTTTTTGATCTTAATTGCCATATGTCCGACGCCATTCACTCCTTTCGGACAGCTAAATAACATGGCACCCAAAGGTAAAAGATAATTTTTCAAACCAAAGAGATGATCTCTGTGATCAGGTCCTTGTCTTACCTCACTCTCAAAAACAATAAACCTTATATAATACATAATACAAACATTAACAACCAACTTAACAACCCACCCAATAAACCCAAAATTAAAAAACAATAAAACACAAAATACCAATTAAAAAACAAACACATTACCACAACAAAATCCAAAAAACAAACACATTAACAAAACCTCAACCATTAACCCACACTAAAACCCAATCATATAAAAACACACAATTCAACAACACCACTAAAAAAAAAATTACAATTATTCAAAATCAAACAAAAATAAAAAACCAAAACCCAATTACCACCAAAATAAAAATTTAAAAAACACAACTACAACAAATTACACAAACAACACACAGTTAAAACAATTCAACAAAAACCCAACAACTACCTACAAAAACCCACAAACAATTACACACATTAAAAAAAAATTACACACATTCACAATTAACCACCCTAAACAACATACACTAACAATCAAAACAATACACAAATCCCTTATCTTTACCAACATACATACCCACCCATCCATATACTATACCCATTTTCAACCCCCCCCATCCCCAAACCTCATATTCCCCCAACCCAACAACCACCAAACAATAAAATCCCTATAAATAATTTTCTATCACATAGACAAAACATCACATCCCTTATTCCTCAACCTTATATAATCTTATATAATCTAAACCCATTACCAAACACCACATTACTTATCCCATCCATCTCCCACCCCTTCTCTTCTCCTCACCTTCCCCCCCTACCATCCTTCCCCTCTTCCTATCTTATATCCTTTTATCCCATCCCCCGTCATATACTTCGCAAACTACATACCACAAATATATCCCCAAACCAACACTATACCCCCCCCCCTCCTCCTAAACTCTAAACCCTGACCAAACTAATATTATCACCATACACTCAAAACCCCCCCCACCCTTCCTCCACCCCCTAACACCAACCTTCAACCCCCCCTAAACACCAACCTACATTAACCTTACTTCCCTAACTTATCTCCACCTCTTCCATCCCTCTCCCTCTCTCTCCCCTCCTTCTCCTCACTTTACCCTCTTCATATCCTACCTCCCTCTCCCTTTCCCTCAAATTCTTCTCTCCTCTCTCTCTCTCTTTCCCCTTTCTCTTTCCCTCTCTATTTCCCCTCCTCTCTTTCCCCCTACTCTCTTTCCCATCTCTCTTTCCCCTCTCTCTTTCCCTCTTCCTCCCCCTCCCCCCCTCACTCCCAACCCTATCCTTCCTCTCCCTAACCCTATCTACTTCCACCCCCCTACAAACACCCCATATCACACAACCCCTACTTACCTACCACTTACTCAACCCCTACCCCACTAACCCCCCCCCCCCCCTAATCCAACAACACAAATACTCATCACAATCCAAACCCACTAAACCCATCACCCCCCTTCACCCCAACTTAATTTTCACTCCCACACCCTACAAAATTTCCTATCACCCATAACCCTCCCATCCCCCTTCCATTCCCATCACCCACAACCAACCCACAAATAACACTACATCCCCTCACCCCTACCCAATTTCCAATTAACTTTAACAACACTCCTCCACCATACCTAAATATTCCCCCCCCAAACCACCAATCCCTAACATCCACCAACCAACCCCCCCCCCAACCCCCCCCCCCATACTCCCCCACCCATATCATCATACCCCACCATCCCCCCATCCCCCCATCCACCCTAAACCCACTCTACAATCCCCCCCACCCCCCCCCCCCCCACCACCCCCAAACCACCCCCACTTACTCAAACCCAACTCCTCAATCACCCCACCTTACACATACACCCCCCCCAACTACACCTCCATCTCCATACCCAACATCTCCCCATACCCCACTCCCCCCCCCCCATCCCCCCCCTATCACTATCCCCCAAACACCCTATTTTATCCTCTCCTATCCCAAAACATTAATAAACCCCTTCCCCCCCCCCCCCTATCCTTCCCATTAATCCTCCCCATTTCATCTTCACCTTTACCCCTACTTACCCCTCCCAACACCCTCCTCCTCCCCCCTTCCCTTAATATACCCCTCCCCCCCCCCCATTTACCTATTTATAACCCCCCATCATATCATAATTCACTACCTCCCCCCCACCAACCATACACTCCTACCCAACCATACCTCCTCATACCAATACACACCAACCCAACATACATCCTACCAAAAATTACAACTCCACATTCCCATACCCCCCACCCAATCAAAATACTCCAACAAAAAAATATACCCCTTCCACAATTACACCATTAACAACCAAATTATAAAAATTATAAACCCCTATTAAACAACAATTACAACAACTTCCACACAAATACCACACACATACAACACAACTACTCACACAATTAACAAAATTACACACAAATTAAACAATTAACCACCACAATTAAAATAAAACCAAAACTCCACTACCAAAAACCCCCCCCCCCCCCAACAACAAATCAACAACAACTCAAAAAAAAAAACCCCCCCACAACATAAATCAAAACACCAAAAAAACTATCCATATCCAAATTCCCTACCCCCCACCCAACCCATATCATCCTCCATACATCAATACATCCCCTCCCCATACCACACCCTCATACCAACCCACCCCTTATATTTTACACATTATCCTCCCCAATCTTTTCTTCCTATCCTCCATATATCCTCCCCGATCTTTCTCCCCATATTCCCTCTCCTCTCCTGATCATCATCTATTTTATTCCCCCTCCTTCCCCCAACACAATTTAATTCCCCCCCCCCCTAATCCCTCCCCTTTCCCTCTCCCTTAAACCCCCACTCCCCACCCCTCACAATTATCCCACACAACCACTAAAAATTCTAAAAAAACAACTAAAAACCCCCCAATTTAAACACAAACAAACAAACCCCCCCCCCCCCCCCCCCCCCATCATAACCCACAAAATTCAACAACCCCACCCCCCCCCCCCACAAAACCACCCCAAAAACCACCACCTATCCCACCCCAACCCCCCCCCACACATACACCCCTTACCACAACCACACAACCATTACCCACAACACACTAAATACCCACCTCCAACAACTCTCAACCACCCTCAACCCCCCCCCCACCCCCCATAACCCCCCCCCCCCCATCAACAACATCCACCAAACCTCAAACCCCTCAAAAATACCATATCATCATCCCACATCCATAATCCTCACTTCCCCACCCCACCCACATCCCATCACAACCCAACTCTCCCCTCTCCCCCACCCCCTTTACCCCAATACACACATCCCACACCCCATATCCCCCCCAATCCCAACCACCTACACATCTCTCCCCCCCTCACCACCCCCCTAACATCCCCCCCCCAATTCCCCACCCCAACACCCCCCCCCCCCCATATCCCCCCCCCCATTCACTACACCCTCCTTCCCTCTCCTCTCTCTCACCCCCCCCCCCCCTCCCTCTCTCTTCTATTTCTTCCCCACCTTTTCTCTCCTCTCTTCCCATATTTTTTCTCAACTCACTCTTCCTCTCTCTCCCCTCTATACACCCTCTTTCTTCCCTCTCTATCCCTATTTCACCATCATCTCCCTCACTCTCCCCTCTTCTCCCCCCCCTCTCTCACCTCTTCCCCTCTCTACCCCATCTCTCTACCCCCCCCTCAACACACCCCCCCCCCCCCCCCCCACCCCACCACTACAATCAAAAAACCCCTTTCAAAATTCAAAACCACACATAATCAACCCTTTTCCCCCCCCCCCCCCCTCCATTACTATCACTCACAAACCTATCTATCCCTAATAAACATCTCACTCTCTCTCAACTAAACCCCATCTCACACTATCACTCTACCATCTCTACTCTACACCACCCACTCTCTACCCAATACCTACCCCCCCACCCTTCTCCACTATCTCAAACCCCAAACTATACCTAACCCCCACCTCACCCCTCACCCCCTACCCCCATCTCATATCCTTACCATCCCCCCCCCTAGTATCAATACCCCCCCCCATTCAAAACAATACCCACCCCAACCCACCCACCATATCACCCCCCCCCCCCCCCCCATCCACCCCTAACCCCAAACACCCCCACCCACACCCCACCCCCCCCCCCCCAAACCCCCCCACCCCCTACCAATCACCCAACTCCCCCAACACCCCCCCTAACACCCCCAACTAACCCTATAACACATCACAAACCACCCACCCCTCACCCCCCCCCCCCCTCTCCCCCTTTTCCAACAATCCCCCCATTCCCCACCCACCCACTACCCACCCAACCTCACACCCCCCAAAATACCCCCTATCACCCAACACTCCCCTTTCCCTATCTTTAATTTCCACCTCACTTCACATAACATTAACCCTCCCTATTTCCCCCCACTCTACTCTACTCTACTAACTTACTCTACTTATCTACTTCCTCTACTTCTTCTCTACTCTCACTTACTTCTCTACTCAACTTTACTTACTAACCTCTATATATATACTTTACCCAACCCAACCATCCTCTACTACCTCTCAACTATCCTTTCCTCCTCTACAACACACACCTAAACTCTACTTCAACTCCTATTACTCTACATTCCCATACCCTACTTCCTTCCACTACTCTACTCTATAACTTACTACCTCTCCTTACTTACTCTCTCTACTACTACTCTACTATACTCAACTCTACTCTCCTTCAACCCTATATATTATCTCAAACTACCTTATATCCCCTTACTAATACTTACTTCTACTCTTACACTACTTTACTCCCCCTATCCCCCTCCCTACATTACACTCATATCTCATCTCTCTCTACACCCTACCAACTCTATATTAACTTTACTCTCTAACATCTACTATAACCATCCCCCTAAACACCCCCAACACCCATCCCTAACACCCCTACCCAACCCCACCACCTTCCATCCCTTCCCACATACCTAAACAACCCCTATCCCTAACCTCTATCCCTCCACACCATTCAATACATATCCACTCTCCTACACCTATTCCCCCCTTACCACTCTTACCCCCATCCCCCTACCTCACCCCCTCCCACAATCCCATCATACATACACCCTCCAACTCCTATACAAACCCACCCTCTTCCCTCTCAAAAAATACCCTACCCACAACCTCAAATCCACCCCCTATCTCAAACCCCTACTAACCCAATTAACACCCTCCTCCTCCCCCCCCCCCCATTATCCCATCTTCCCTACACTTCACAAATAACCACCTACCCTCTTACATCCCCCACACCCCTCACCCCCATCACCCCCCTCCCTCCACCATCATTTCACCCTAACACCCCCTCACACCCAACCAACCCCAAACCATTCAACCCCACATTCCCCAACCCTCTCCCCCACACCCCCCTCACAACCACACCTCAACCAAAAACACCCACACATCACAACAACAACAACCACACAACCACAACTCACAAAATAACAAAACAATATTCAAACATACCCTCCATAATCCCCCCATATTCCCCCCCCCCTAACCCAACCCCACCCCAACTTATAATACCACCCTCCTCCCCTACCCACTAACTACAAATCACACCACCCCCCATATCCCCCCCCCCCCCCCCCAAAACAACATCCACCCTTACAACACCACCCTACCCCCACCATCCCCAATCCCCACCCCACACCCCCCACACACATCTATACTCACTTACCCCAACCTACCCCCATCTCCCTCAACACCACTAACTCCAACCCCCACTACAAACACCCACTCTCACCTACCAAAAACCACCCCCCCAACCCAATTACCCCCCCCCCCCACCCCACAACCCACCCACTCTATTCCCCCCCACCACAACCCCCCAACAACCCTACACATCTCCAATACATACATACCCCATCATCACACACAAACTCATACTATCCCCCATACCCCAAACCACTCCCCCATAACCCCCCCCAACAATACCCCCTCACAATACCACCCCCCATTCCAACCACCCTTTCCCCCCCTCCCTCACTTACAAACCCCAATATCCCCACCCCCACCCACCATCATTTTTCCACCCTCCTCAAATCTCTATACTCCCCCCCCCCCCCTATATTACAAACCATCCCCATACAATCACAACTCCCAACCCACCCCCCCTACACCTTACCCCTCCAACCCCCCTATACTCCTCCCTCCCCCCACACCCTTCCACCTTCAACAACAACCCCCCAACAATAAAAAAAAACTTCCCTATCCCACACTACACATACCACACACACTCCACCAACCACACCCACCGACTCAATCCAATTACCCCCCACCCCTACCACTAACCCCCAACATAATCAACTCCCCCCCCCCCCCCATACCCAACCCATTTAAATCACAATCCCCCCCTTCCATACAACCCACTCCTCCACCCCCCCACTTCCTCCACTCAATTCTTACCTCTCACACCCCCCTTTCACCTTAATTAAAACAACCTTTCCCCACACTATAAAATATAAACCCTCCCCCTCACCCCTAATTCCACTCTAACCCCCCCCCCCCCCCTCCCCTTAATACAACTATTCTCCCAAATCCTAACACCACCCCCCCCTACACTCACCATATAAACAACACAACCCCACCATATAAAACCAACACCTCAACCCCTCACATATATCCTCCACTCCCTACAAAACATCCTACCCCCCACCCCCCTCCCCCCACCCATCCCACCTTTCCCCCCACCCCCCCCCCTCCTACCCCCCCCCCCCCCTACCAAACAACAAACCCCATTACTCCCCCCCCAACAAACACCATAACCTCCCACATCCCCCACAACAATCTTCACCCCTTTCCTTCCACCATATTAATATCAATCTTCTCCCCTCCATACAACAGTACAAATATCCCCACATCTTCTCCCTAACATTCCACTTTTCCCCTCATCTCCTAACAAACCAATCATTCCACCAATCTACTCCCTTTCCAACAATATTTCAATCAATCTCCCCCTATACCCATACAAACAACCCTACAACTCCTTACAACACCCCCCCCCCCACAACCCAAAACCATACCCCCCCACCCCCCCACCTCACTCCCCCACCATCCACCCCCCCCCCCCCCACCCCACCATCAACCACCCATAATCCCCACCCCCCCACCTCAACCCCCCCACCAACCCCCCCCCCCCACCACCCCCTCTTCCTCCAACCACACCCCCCCTCTACACCCCCCCCCAACCCCCATACCACAATCCCCCACTCCCACAACACCTTACTCTACCACCTACCAACACCCACACCACTACCCCCATCCTACCCCAATTACCATCCACACACCACAATACCTCCCCCCCCCCCAAACCACATCACAACCATACTCCATATATATCCCATAATATCATCCCACACCCCATCAACCATCCCCACCCTATCCTCACTCATCCCTTCTCTCATCCCCTCATCACATACCTCTTCTCTCTACCCCCTCTCTCTCTCTACTCTCCTTCACTCTCCCCCCTCTCTTTCTCCTCTCATCTCTCCTCACTCATCCTTTCTCCTATTACTCTCCCTCATCATCACTCCCCTACATCTCACACTATTCCCCACACACACACCCCCCCTAACTCTCCCTCTCTCTCTCCCCTCTCTATTCATCCCCTCTCATCACTCTCACTCTCCACACTACTCCACACACATCCCCTCATCACTCTTCTTTCTCCCCCCACTAACATCTACCCACATCTCACCTCTCATCATACTCCCCTTACACACTTCCCCCCCACTACATCTCACCCTCACACTCACCCCACTCAACATACACCCCTCACATCTCTTCCCCACACTACCCTACACTCTCACCCACTTCTCTCCCCCCCCTCTCTCACTTCCCCCCTCACTCTCCCACTCACACCCCCCTTCTCACTCCTCTTCAACCCACCCTCTCTCATCCTCAACATCCCCTCTCACTCTATCCACTCTCTACCCCCCCCCCCCCCCCCCCCACCCTCACCCCACACACTTCCTCACTTCACATCCCCCCCATCTCTCATCATCACTCACACCCTACTCTCTCCTTCATCACACATACCCCATCTCTCTCTCCCTAACTCTCATCCCTACACACCTCTCTCTCCTCTTACTCCCACCTCATCTCTCCTCTCTCTCATCCTCTCTCATATCCTCACTTCTCCCCCTCTCTTTCACCTCTCTACTCTCCCCCCCTCCATCTCACTCCCTCTCATCACCCTCTCTATCTCCTCTTATCACCCTCTACATCTCACCTACTCTACTCTCCTTCTCTTTCCATTTCATCACTCTTCTATCTATACACCCCCTCTCTCTCTTCCTATCTCTCTCCCCCCCTCTCTCCCCCTCTACCTCATCCCCCCACACCATCAACCCCATCATCCACCATATCACCCCCCCTCATCACCCCCCACACTCACATCCCTATCTATCACCAATCACTACCCCCTCTCCCCCACTCTACACCCCCAATACCCCCACACCCATTAACAACAAAACATCCCCCAACCCCCCCCCCCTAAACCCACCCACAATACCCCCCCCCCCACCACTATCACATCCACTCACTCTCTATCTCCCCTTCACACCCCCCACTACCCCCCTCTCTCCTTCCTCCCCATCTCTACCCTCTCCCCTCTCTCTACCCCCCCCCTCATTCTCTACTCCCTCCCCATCCCTCTTCTCTCTACCCCCCCCCCTCTCTCTCCCCTTCTCCTTCTCTCTTCATTTCTTTAACTCTCTCTCCCCCCCTCTTTCCCCTTCTCTCCCCCTCTCTTTACCTCTCTCTCCCCCTCTATCCTCTCTCACCCTCTCTTTCAACTCTCTCTCCCCCCCCATTCTCCTCTCTCTCTTTCCCACCCCTACTACTCCCCCCTCTTCCACTCACTCTCTCCCTTTCTCTATCTCCATTACTCTCTCTCCATCTCTTCCCTTACTATCCCATAAACATCCCATCCCTCCCATCCTTACCATTCCTACTATCATTAATCCCCATCCCCCCTCTTCCACCCTCCACACCCATCCCCCCCTTATCCATATCCCCTACCAAATCACAAAATCATCCTACCCCCTACCCCAACCAATCCCACACCCCCCCACCCCCCCCCCCTATAACCCACCACCCCCCCCCACCAACTCAAACCACAATTCCCAATATCTATCCCCCCCACCAATCATCACAACAATAAACCCACCACACTACCCTCCACCCCCCATAAACAACACAACCCTTCCCTACCAATAACTCACCCCCATCTCCCCCCCCCAACCCCCCAAACCCCCCCCCCCATACAACAAAACATCTCTCTCAAACCACCCCCACACACCCCCCCCCCCCCCAATCCCCCCAACCACCACCCCCCCCAAACCCATACTTCCTCCTCCCAACCCCCACCCCAAACCCCCCCCACACCCTCCTCCCCCCACCCCCACCACAAACCATACCATCCATATACATCAACAACTAACCACTTATCCCCAATAATCCAACAACTCCCCCCACCACTAAAAAAACCCAACCCCCCCACCATCCAAACATAAAACCTATTAACTCAAACCCAAACATCTATTCTCTTACCCCCTCTCCCCCCCAACCCACTACAACCAAACACCACCAAACAACAAATTCCAACATATCCACACAACCCCCCATTTCAAAACATTTACACACCCACCCACCCCCCCCCATAAAACACATATTACCCATAAATTAAAACCATTAACACCAATTACCACCACCACACCCCAAATTTACCCAAAATTAAACACAACTTACACCACACCACCCAAATTACCACCACATTAAAACCAACTTACACAAAACCCCACACCCCCTTACCACCACAATACACACAAATTAAAAACCAAATTAACACATTACAATTAAACAAAAATAAACCAATTATAACAAATTACAAAAAATTACACATTACACAATCTAACTAATTAAACACATTACCCCACCAATTACCAACACAATCCACACCCCTTACAACACTCCACTCAACACACCAAAAACAACTACCTCCCTAATACCCCCCCCCCCTCCCTTCCACCCCCACTCTCCCCTCCACCCACTCCCCCCCCC